TGACTGTAGCGAGCACCAAACTGTAACAGCCAGTTGGCCGAGTGACTTCCTTGAAATTTGCTCTTGCGGGGAAACGGCCACGTTCAGGATTTGAGGTTTTCCACGTGGTTGCAGACTTGAAAGGTCGTGCCCAACAGGTACCTGGAAAGGAAGACGGAGAAGCCAGTGCTGGCCTCGCCACCGTCCTGGCCCAGCAGCCCAGCAGCGTGGCAGGGGCCTGCGGTGCTTCCTCTGATCAGCGAACTCCGTCCAACATCCAGCTCCTCCTCAAAACTGGCCCTCCTGCCATGGCTCATTTGGCTCAGTGGATAGAGCGTCGGCCTGCAAACTGAAGGGTCCTGGGTTCGAATCCGGTCAAGGGCATGTACCTTGGTTGCGGACACATCCCCAGTAGGAGGCCTGCGGGAGGCCGCCTCTCTCATCCATGTTTCTAACTCTATCCCTCTCCCTTCCTCTCTGTAAAAAAAATCAATAAAATGTTGTTTTTTTAAACTGGCCCTCCTGCCAGGGCCAGGCGAGTGAAGGGCGGAACAGGCAGACGGATCGCCGCGGAGTGCTGTGACCCAGCAGCAGGCTCCTCATCCCAGCACCCTGAAGTGACCGGGGTCACCCCAGGCCTGACCAGGGCCTCGGGCCGCCCAGCAGTAGGGGAGCAGGATAGCGCCCCACCTCCCACGCCTCACTGTCCTGGGCATGTGTAGAGGAAGGGATGCAGCAGAAAAAGAATTGTCCTTCGAAAATGTCAGTGTCGCCCCCCAGGGTGGCCCTGTGGTTGAGCGTCGACCTATAAAGCAGGAGGTCACGGTCTGACTCCCTCGCGGTCAGGGCACATGCTTGGGTTGGGGGTCTGATCCCCGGGGACACACACACACACACACACACACACGCACACAAGGCAGCCAATCTATAATTCTCACCATTGATGTTTCTAGCTTCCCCCCACTCTCTGGAATCAGTCAAAAGTCCCGAAAGAAGCAGTGCCCAGTGTTAAAGTCACTGTCGCACCATTGCTGCGGACAGTTAGGCATTTCTGGCTTCCCAGAGCAGCCAGAGCCCTCCTGTGGTAGACAGTGTAACCTGGTGTTGGCCTGGGAGGCTCCGGGACCCGCTGTGGGGTGAGGGCCCCCCTGGCCTGGCAGTTAGGCACCCAGACTCACCAGGCAGGTTCCAAACACTGGACCGGAGTCCCCACCAACTCACAACGGAGGGTGTCTTCAGAGACACCAGATCCCTGTTGACCAGGACACCTCCTTCAGCCGTCCACGCCTGAGGGAGATGGCACTGGGTCACCCTGTGGGAGGGACCCCACCCCACGGAGATTTACTACAGCAGCAGGAACAGGTGGCGTCAAACAGAACTGGAATTAGACTTCTAGCATTTTAGCCCTAGTCCTAATTCAGACCCCATTTCCTTAGACACATTCCCCTCCCCCCCCCTAAAATAGGGCCTTGAACATAAGAAGGGCTGAGTTTCCTTCGTCCAGCAGCCCTCAGCTGGAGGTGTGCCCAGCGGGGACCTGGGCTAGACTCTGGTCTTGGGTCACCGAGCAGAAGGGTAGTCATGACCGGGCTCACTATGCATGTAGCCCTGTTGTGGGTGCACTGCATGTTAAACCATTCCATCCTCACACCGGGCACATGCCATACTGTTCTCATCACTCTTGTGTCTTTTAAATATATTTTTATTGATTTCAGAGACACAGGGAGAGGGAGAGAAAGCGAGAAACATCAATGAGAGAATCATTGATCAGCTGCCTCCTGCACGCTCCCCACTGGGGATCAAGCCCGACACCCGGTAGGTGCCCTGACAACCGGGAATGGAACAGTGACCTCCTGGTTCCTGGGTGGACGTTCAGCTGCGGAGCCACGTGGCCGGGCAGTTGACAGTGGCAGCAGATCAAATGGAAAACTTTTCCATTGAAATTTGCAATGAAATAGAGGAGGAAGGAAACACAGCAGGAAGGCAGACTCAGACGTTCAGGATCAAGCACTCAGGTTGGCCTCTCGGTGGGTGGGTGCCAGGTGCCTTCCCTGGAGAGCAGAGGCGGAATCTGTGCAGGCAGAAGACAGGCTCGGGCTCTCTTCGTCTTTTGAATGCCTGGAGGGGATTCAGGCGAGGATAAGGCTCAGTCACAAAAAGGACCTACAGTGTGCGTAAAGGGCCTACTGTGTGGGAGCCCTCGTGTTGTCATCAGATGTCTCTATGGCAGGAGGGCGGGCCCTGAGGAGGTGATGCGTTGCCATGTGATGGCTTTATCATCCTCTGACTCACTGCCCCTTCACTCAGCAGTCTCTGGCTTGGGCCTCCCAGCAGGCCTTGTCCCCAGGCACACAGGCTAAACCTACGGAGGGCAAACCTTAGCAAACGTTTCCCAACACGGCCAGCGAAAGCAAACAGAATCCCCGGCTGGATCCTTCCTTGAAAGTCACAGCCTCTCAGAGCGGCTGCTTCCTAGAGGAATACACGGAGGAATACAGTGATCTGATCAGGAATCTAGCCCATACCACTGCCACTGCTGCCACCACCACCACCACCTATGCTCTTCTCTCTTTTCTTTTTAAATATATTTTTATTGATTTCAGGGAGAAAGGGAGAGGGAGAGATAGAAACATCGATGATGAGAGAGAACCATGGATCGGCTCTCTCCTGCATCCACACCAGGGATGGAGCCTTTATCCTGAGAATGTGCCCTCCCCAGGAATCGAACTGAGATCTCCTGGTTCATAGGTCCACACTAATCATTGAGCCATGCCAGCCGGGCCTTTTCTCTCTTGTCTTTAATTGATGAGAGAGAAGAAGAGAGAGAGAGAGAGAGAGAGAGAGAGAGAGAGAGAGAGAGAGAGAGAGAGATTGATTTGTTGTTCCATTTATTTATGCATTTGTTGGTTGATTCTTGGATGTGCCCTGACTGGGATCGAACCCAAAACCTTGGAAGACGTTCTAACCAACTGAGCACCCACCCAGCCAGTTCCCCACCCCGTTCCCTGTGGCCCCGCCCACTCTTTTTAAAAGAAGGAATGTCTGAGATAAAGGCAACACAACCTAACTCAGGAGTTCCTGGTTGCCTGGTGCTGAGAAGCCCAGCAGTACCTGTTAACACACAGTGCGGGGAGCTCTGGTGCGTTCGCAGGTCCAGCACGGGATCTGAGAACAGGTGTTACAATGTGTGTGCGGATCTTGCAAGTGAGGGTGTTCTAACAAAAAGAGCAGAATTGCCCTCACACCGCGGCTCGAGAGCCACATGCGGCTCTTTGGCCCCTTGAGTGTGGCTCTTCCACAAAATACCACGGCCTGGGCGAGTCTATTTTGAAGAAGTGGCGTTAGAAGTTTAAGTTTAAAAAATTTGGTTCTCAAAAGAAATTTTAATTGTTGTACTGTTGCTATTTGGCTCTGTTGCCTAATGAATTTGCTGACCATAGCCCAAGCCAGTTTGGCTCAGTGGCTAGAGTGTAGGCCCGAAGACCTGAAGGATCTCGGGTTCAATTCTGGTCAAGGGCAGTACCTCAGTTGCAGGCTCTGCCTGACCAGGGCACCTGCAGGAGATAACCAATCAATGCGTCTCTCCCTCATCGATGTTTCTCTCTCTGTGTCTCTCCCCCTCCCTTCCTCCCCCCCTGTCTCTCTCTCTCTCTCTCTCTCTCTCGAAGAAGAAGAAGAAGAAGAAGAAGAAGAAGAAGAAGAATTATGTGAGGAAAAAATACATTCTCCTGTGAGGTTTAACAACAAAAAGAGCAGAATTTTGTGCAGTCTTCAGCTAAAAGGTAATATCCTACCCTCAACATCAGCAGACAAGTTAAAAACCCCACTTGCTGGGGGGGAAGGTAAAGGGATTAAGAAGTGCGAACTGGGAGTTAGTTACAAAATATGGGATGTAAAGTACAACATAGAGAATATAATCAATAATATTGTAACGCTTTTCCCGCCAGCGGTCTGTGCGGCCACAAAGGTGGGCAGGAACGTCCTGGCTGATGCTCTGGAAAGTATCAACAACGCCGCGGAGAGAGGCCATCGCAGGTTCTCATGAGGCCGTGCTCCAAAGTCTGTTTTCTGACTGTGATGGTGAAGCATGGTCACATTGGCGCCCTTGAAATCACTGATGGCCACAGAGCTGGGGAAATGGTTGTGACCCTCACAGGCAGGTTGAAAGGGTGTGGAGTCATCAGCCCCAGATTTGATGTGCAACTCAAAGACCTAGAAAGATGGCAGAACAACCTGCTTCCATCCCGACAGTATGGTTTCCTTGGCCTGACAGCCTCAGGGGGCATCATGGACCATGAAGAAGCAAGACGAAACCACACAGGGGGAAAAATCCTGGCATTCTTTTTCTAGGGATTTCCACATATATGGAAATAAAATTCCAATAATTATAATAATAATAATGATGTAACAACTACGTATGGTGTCCAGGTGGGGTCATTGTAAATGATGTGACTGTCCACGCTTCCGATGCTGCACACCTGGAAGTGACATAAAATAATGTTGAAAGGCAACTGTAATTGGGAAATTACACACACACACACACACACACACACACACACACACACACACCTGCCCTAGAATGTCCCGTCCCTCCTCCTGCACCTCCAACTGTCACCTCCTCGCCCCGCAGCGGGCGGGTCGGGCCACGTCTCGGTCCCACGTCCGCGGGGCTCCCGTGCCGCCCTCCCATTGGCTGGAAGTTCCGTCGCCCGGAGCGGCGCGGCCTCCACTCGCCACGCCAGCCCTGGGGACTCCGGCCCGCCCGGGGGCGTGGCCTCTCGTTGTGGGCGTGTCCATGAGGGGCAGGGCGGGGCCAGGAGGGGGCGGGGCGGGGCCAGGAGGAGGGCGGGGCGCGGCGGGCGGGGCGGCGGGCTCGGGGCGGCCTATGGCGCGGGAGGCCGCGCGCCGCGCCCCTCGGGGCCGGGCCGGGCCAGGCCAATCCCGGGCCACCCGGCGGGCGACCGCGAGGCCGGGCGGGCCGGGCCGGAGGGCCGGGGGCGGGGGACAATGGGCCGGTTCCTGGTGCGTCACCCCGGAGTTCCTTAAAGGGAAAGCGAGCGGGCGGCGGGCGCACGGGAGCGCGGCGCGGCTGTGGCGGCGGCGGAGGCCCCGCGCGCTGGGAGGATGCCCGCGGCGCCCGGCCACCATGCAATGGCGAGCGCTCGTCCTGGGGCTGCTGCTCCTGCGGCTCGGCCTCCACGGCGCGCTGTGGCTGGTCTTCGGGCTGGGGCCCAGCATGGGCTTCTACCAGCGCTTCCCGCTCAGCTTCGGCTTCCCGCGCCTGACGGGCCCCGGCGGCCCCGCCCCGGGCCCCGCTGAGCCGCCCGGGGGCCCGGCGGGGCCGGCGTGGCGGCGGCCGGGGCCCGGCGCGGCGGGGCGGGCCCCGCGGCGGCGGCCGGGCGTGTGCGGCCCGGCGCACTGGGGCGCCGTGCTGGGCGGCCGGGGCGGCGGGCCGGACGAGTACGAGCGGCGCTACAGCGGCGCCTTCCCCCCGCAGCTGCGCGCCCGGATGCGCGACCTGGCGCGCGGCATGTTCGTCTTCGGCTACGACAACTACATGGCGCACGCCTTCCCGCAGGACGAGCTCAACCCCATCGACTGCGGGGGCCGGGGCCCGGACCGCGGGGACCCGTGAGTACCTCCCCCCGGGGCCCCGGGTGCCAGGGCGCCAGGGTCCCGGCCGCCGCATCAGGACAAACCCCCCGCCCAGGCCTCCGGGACCTGGGGTGCGGCCGGGCCGGCCCGGAAGTGAGGAACGCCGGGGCAGCTGGCCGCGCGGGCTCTGGCATTTGGGGAGACCGAGGCTCAGGCCCCGGGGACAGGGCAGCGCCCATCTCCGCCTCCTCCGTGCGGGGAGCCGCGGGGACGTGAACCCCCTGTAAGGAAGTTTGGAAACAAGCTGTCCCTCGGCCTGGCTTCCCTGTTAGAAATGGGAGACCAGAGCCGGGGCTGGAGCCCCCCTCCCCTGCTCCCTGAGGACCCGCTGCTTCCGGGGCTGAGGCTGAGGCGGGAGGGAGAGGGGAGCCCGGCCCGGGTCGGGGGGCCCGGTGCCCGGGTGAGGTTCCCGGACCCCCGCCGGCGGCGGGGCTGGGGCAGGTGGGCCAGCCCTGTTGGCGCAGGCCGAGCTCCCGGGCCACTGCGCCGACCTCGGAGTCCAAGGGTTCAGCGCACCCGGAAGGGCTCCCGCCCGGGAGCGGCCTGCCTCTCGCTGACCCTGTCGGGCCAGACGGGCGGCCGCCTCCCTCCTGGCTCCCGGGGCGGGAGGGCGGGAGCGGTGGCTGCTGCCCCTGGGCGCACACCCTGTGGTGGCCCCGGGCCCGGGTGTCCCCCGACCCGGTGAGAAGCGGCAGCGCCGGGTGCTGACGGCTGGAAGGGAAGCCCAGCCGGGAACGGGGCTGGGAGAGGGTTTCAATGGTTTGTGTATCGGCACGTTCATGCCCTGAGTTGGCCGTTGGAGAGCGCGGTTTGCAGTGAGGCAAGGTCACACCCCAGGTGAACTTCAGAAGACGGGCCTTCCTAACCCAGAGGACACCGAGGAGCTAGTGTCCTCCCTTTCCTGTCAGTCTCATACATATAAATGTCTCCCTCCCTCCCCCTCTCTCTCCCTCTCTCTCTCCCTCTCTCTCTCCTTCTCTCTCTCTCTCAAAAGTTTTACTAAGTTTTGAAAACAAGCTCTGGGTCTGTGCAGGTGGCGGGAACTCATGAGTTGTCTTGCTTGAGGCTCCTGGACTCGATGCCCATGTGTTTTCTTCTGGTCTTAACTTTTCGAGAAACGTTACAATTGGAAAACAGAAAGCCCAAAAGCTTGCCAGGTCTCTTTCATTGCTCTTTTACGCCAGCTCCTGCCCACACTCTGTTACGGAGCAGACATAGGCGTGTGGGGAGCATGTATGTCCCCCCCTAAAGCTCATGGGATCCCAAGAGGGGTGAGAACCTGTTCAGGAAGTGCCCACTGTCTCTGCTGTTTCCTCAAGTTCAGAGACTGCAGGGCACTTTCTGGGCGGGTTCTCACCACCCAGGTCCTCCTCACAGCTCCCTGGGCCCACCCCGCACAGGGCCCACCCCACACAGGCCCACCCCGCACAGACCCCACCCCGCACAGGCCCACCCCGCACAGGGCCCACCCCGCACAGGGCCCACTGCGCACAGGCCCACCCCGCACAGACCCCACCCCGCACAGGCCCACCCCGCACAGGCTCACCCCGCACAGGGCCCACCCCACACAGGCTCACCCCGCACAGGCCCACTCCGCACAGGCCCACCCCGCACAGGGCCCACCCCGCACAGGCCCACCCCGCACAGGGCCCACCCCGCACAGGGCCCACCCCGCACAGGCCCACCCTGCACAGGGCCACCCCGCACAGACCCCACCCCACACAGGCTCACCCCGCACAGGCCCACCCCGCACAGGGCCCACCCCGCACAGGCTCACCCCGCACAGGGCCCACCCCGCACAGGCCCACCCCGCACAGGCTCCGCTTTCTCCTTTCCCTTCAGGGTGGGCCCGAGGGGGCTGTGACGAGGACCTGGGTGGCTCACGCCATCAGCTGGGACTCGGGTGGTCGGGGAGGAAGTGGGTGCCAGTTTTGTGGGCCTTCATGACCCTTAGGGACCCCCTGAGACCCGGACCCCACTCCAGCGAGGGGAGGCGGCCGGGGTCGGCCTGCTGGTCCCACGTGGTTGTGGGTGGCGCAGGCCGCGGTCTCGGGGCGAAGCCTGCCGGCCAGGGTTTCGGTTCGAGTGTGCAGTAACAGTGTGGGGCCTTGAGGTCGGGCTGCTTTGGGACATGTATGCTGTTGGCAAGCTCGTGCCGGTGGGGGAGGGGGGGGGCGGCCGGGCGGCCAGGTTTGGTAGGGGTGTCGTTGGTAAAGGAGGTGAGAGGGCCTGGAGTGGACCCTCACGCCCACCCTCCAGAGTGCTCAGAGCCCTCTGCTCCCTCCCCTGCCTCCTTACCTCCTCCCTCCCTCCAGGCGTTAGCTTTTCCAAGAAAAGTTTAGAACCCGAGCTTGGTCCTTCTGGCTCCAAAATAGGGCACATCCACACCCAGGTAAGCCACCTGTAACCAAACCTTTCCGGTCTGTTTAAAATCACAGTATTCCCGTGACTGTTGTTTCCGGTGACTGTTGTATTCGAGTGTATCTTAGGGTTCGTTTTAAAGCTGCTGTGCGGCACAGCTGTCTGCGTCAGACCGAAAACGTCCAGAAACAAAACCTGGGCTGAACACTATTTTTCAGTTCCACTTTTTCCAGGCTTATCTGGCCATCTTGTTTGTCTTGGGGCGGGGTGAGCAGTTAACTTGGAGGAGTCATAAAACCTGAACTCTAAAAATAGCAGGTGTCTCGGCCACCGATTGCTATGCAAAGCTGATTCCTCTCACACCCCCCATGCGGGTCAGAGCTTCCCAACTCAGAGTTTCTTTCTTGTTTTTTTTAATCCTCACCTGAGGATGTTTTTCCCATTAATTGTTTGGGAGAGTGGAAGAGAGAGGGAAAGACAGAAACGCATCGATTTGGTTGCCTCCTGCACCTGCCCCCACCAGGGTCAGATGTGGGGAGCAGCTTGAAGCTGAGGTACATGCCCTTGACCAGAATTGAACCCGGGACCCTTGGGTCCACAGGCCAGTGCTCTACCCACTGAGCCAAACTGGCTAGGGCCAAACACAGAGTTTCTTCCAGCCCTTTGGATATCATTGTCTTGCATCCTGTGGACAGTAGTCCGGGTCTTGGGCACACGACCTTTCTCTGCTTTCTCCCAGCCCTATTGCTATTCAAACAGAAAGAGCACGTCTTAAGTTAGCAAACGCCCAAACCGACCCGTTCCGAGGCGCCCCTGGCTTCGTGTGGCCTCGTTCTTTCTAAGATCCTGTCCTCCCCGGGTCAGGGCCCAGGCCTGTGTGATGCCGCTGGCCTGTCTGAGGGTGACTTTCCCCGATGGACTCATCCTCCTTCGTCTCCCTTCGCCTGTCTACCCCCCTCCCCCTTATGACCAAGCCCTTGAACCCCGTGCCCTCGCCTCCACGGCACCGGCAGTTCCTGGTGAACGTGGGGCGTTGGTTTCATACGTGGATGTGAGTCTCTTCCATCTTCTCTGTTTGGGCGATAAGAACCTTAACCGTTCCCGGGCGGGGAGAGGAGGGGGGCCACAGAGGGGAGAGCCGGGTTCTGCGTCGCTGGTTCGGCTCCCGGTTCGGTTCGGCGGGAGTGTGTGCGGCCAGCCAGCCTGGCGCGGGGCGCTGGGCTCTGGCGGGAGGACTTAGCGGACCGAGGCGGCTGGCCCGGGCGGGAGCATCTCCAGAGAACAAATCCGAGGGCTCACCGACGCCGTGGCTTGGCATAAACGGACTCACGATAAGTGGTGGTTTAGGCGAAGAGGGTTTGTTGGTTAATCCTCATCCAAGGCTATTTTCTCACTGATTCTCCCCCCCCCCCCCCCCAGTGGAAGAGAAAGAGGGAAAGGGAGAGAGAGAGAAAACAAAAACAAAACATGGATGTGAGAGAGACCAGGGTTGGGGATTGAACCTGCAACCCAGGTACGCGAACCCAAAACCCTTCTGTGCTTGGGCCGTCGCTCTAACCACTGAGCGGCCCAGAGGGGTGTGGAGCCTGCCCTTTTCTTTATTCCCTTCTTTTTTATTTTCCGGCACATTTTGGAAGTGTGGACCGAAATTTGATCGGAAAGAATTAAAAGTCTGAACGCATGCCTGAGCTCTCTGAGGGGCGAGAAGGGGCATTGCCAGCGCGTGTTTTCACTGGGACAAAGTGTCTTTGTTCATTGGAGTGACAGCTTGGACATCGGGTGGAAAAATATTCTAAGACTGGGCCTGGCCCTCACTGGTGTGGCTCAGTGGATAGAGTGTAGACTGAGGGGGGTCCCAGGTTCGATCCGGTCAAGGGCATGTACCTTGGTTGTGGGCACATCCCCAGTAGGGGGTGTGCAGGAGGCAGCTGATCGATGTTTCTCTCTGATTGATTTCCTCTCTGTAAAAAAATCAATAAAATATATATATTTTTTAAAAAAAAGACTGGGTCCAGCCCTAGCTGGTTTGGCTCAGTGGATAGAGAGCATAGACCTATAGACTTGAAGGGTCCTGGGTTCGATTCTGGTCCAGGGCACATGCGTGGGTTGTGGGCTAGTTCCCCAGTGGGGGGTGTGCAGGAGGCAGCCAATACAGGATTCTCTCTCATCGCTGATGTTTCTATGTCTCTCTCCCTCTGCCTTCCTCTCTGAAATCAATAAAATAAATAAGTAAACTGGGCTGTTGTAGGTGTTGCCTGGGAGGAGAGGCACAGTCAGACTGGGAAGGTGGGCAGTGATGGGCAGGGGGCGAGGAGGCCGTAGGACTCGCGAGCTGGGTGCCAGGTGGAGGGACCGTGTCCGAGGGGGCTGGCTGGAGGCCTCTCGGCTTCCGAGCAGCAGAGCCGTGAGGTTCAGCAGCGACCGACGGCAGCCTGGGGCTGGGGGCGGCCGGAGCGTGTCCCTGCCTGGTAGGGACCTCTACCTCACACACGTGTGCCCTCGGGGGCTTGTTGTTACCCCGGCTCCCTGGGCGTTGACAGAGAGTGGACGCCTGGCAGGGCAGGTGGGGCGGCTCCTCGGCCGTGGGCGTCGGACTCGTGGCTGGTGAGGGGCGGGGCGGCCGGTGCCTGTATGGCCTTCCGCACAAGCTCGGCTTAACGACGGCCCAGCCCTGGCCGGCGGCTCAGGTGGTAGGAGCATGGTCCTTGGCACCAAAGGGTTGAGGGTTCGATTCCCAGTCAGGGCACATACCTGGGTTACAGGTTCGGTCCTCTGTTGGGGTTTGTACAGGAGGCAACCCATCCATGTTTCTCTCTCTCTCTCTCTCTCTTCTCTCTCTCTCTCTCCTCTCTCTCCCTCCCTCCCTCCCTCCCTCCCTCCCTCTCTCTCTCTCTCTCTCTCTCTCCCTCTCTCTCTCTCTCTCTCTCCTCTCTCTCTCTCTCTCTCTCTCTCTCCTCTCTCTCTCCCTCCCGCTCGCTCTCTCTCTCTCTCTCTCTCTCTCTCTCTCTCTCTCTCTCTCCCTCTCTCTCTCCCTCTCTCTCTCCCTCTCTCCCTCTCTCCCTTTCTCTCTCAAATCAATGAAAACATGTCCTTGGGTAAGGTTTTAAACAAGTAAGTAGATAAGTAGGTGGGTAGATAGATATAAGACGTGGACCTGGAGTGTTTTTAATATACTTTATTGGTTTTTTACAGAGGAGGGGAGAGGGATAGAGCTAGAAACATCGATGAGAGAGAGACATTCATCAGCTGCCTCCTGCACCTCCCCCCCACACACACACTGGGGATGTACCCACAACCAATGCACATGCCCTTGACCGGAATCGAACCCGGGACCCTTTAGTCCGCAGACTGACGCTCTAACCACTGAGCCACACCGGTTGGGGCGGCCTGAAGTTGCGCTGTGCAGGCTGCCCTAGATTAAGTGGCCTAACAGGCCCAGCCCAGCCAGCAGTGGGGCCTGAGGAGACCAGAGGGCGTGGTGAGCGGCCTCCTGCTTCCACCAGGCCCGTCTGTGTCCCCAGGAGAAGGGAACGTGGTCTGGTTGGTGGGAGACTGGACACCAGTGACGATGGAACTGGGCTCACCCTTTGGTCCTTAAACGTCACTGGATTTCCCCCTCCTTCCCTCCTTCCCAGCTCCTGTGGCTGCTCTGGGCTGTGGGGTTGGGACCAGGATCCTGAGCCTCTGCTCCCTCCCTGCCCTCCGGCCCTCGCACTGCTGTGTCTGCGGCGTCTGTTACGCAGAACTGCCCTCCGCCCCCCGCCTCGCCTCTGCAGCCCTGACGCTGGGCCTCCAGGTTATTTCAGAAAGGGGAGCGGCACCCGGCGTGGCCTCCTGGCTGAGCGTCCACCTAAGAACCAGGAGGTCCCGGTTCAATTCCCGGTCAGGGCACAGGCCCGGGTTGCGGGCTCCATCCCCACTAAGGCGTGCAGGAGGCAGCTGATCAGTGACTCTCATCACTGATGTTTCTGTCTCTCCTTCTCCCTTTCTGTCCGAAGTGAATAGAAATATGTTTTTAAAAAGCAAAGAGGCCGAAACCGGTTTGGCTCAGTGGTAGAGCGTTGGTCTGCGGACTGAAAGGTCCCAGGTTCGATTCCGGTCAAGGCATGTACATTGGTTGCGGGCACATCCCCAATAGGGGGTGTGCAAGAGGCAGCTGGTCGGTGTTTCTCTCTCATCGACGTTTCTAGCTCTCTATCTCTCTCAGCCTCCACGGGGCCACGGGGCCACGGGGTGAGTGTGAGTGAAACACGCCTGAAGTTCACTTATCCCCGAGGCCAAGGCGATGAGAAGCTCAGACTGCGCTGGAGGGTCACCCCTCTGGGTGTGGCCGGCTGGAGGGTCTGATGTCCCAGCTGGAGACGGGGCAGGGCTCCCCTCTCTGCTTTGAAGGATCTAAAGTCGGGGCTACTGGAAGCTGAACGGGGGAGCGCTTAGGCCACGAAATGGCGTTCAGGACGGCAGGACTCGGCACTGCCCCTGCCTCTGCCGGGGTCTCCCTCCTGATAGTGCCCACGTGACAGTGTCCACGCCGTGGCTGTCCAGGACGTGCTTGGGGGTGAAGGAGCCACCTGAGGCGGCCAGGCCTCCGCTCCCGCCTGCGCGGGCCCGGGTGATGAGCGTGGCCGGCAGGTTCCGGCTGACGGTGCTGGGTCCCTGTCCCTCCTCCTAACACGGCGCCTCCGTTCCTTCCAGCTCCAACCTGAACATCAACGATGTGCTGGGCAACTACTCGCTGACGCTCGTGGACGCGCTGGACACGCTGGCAGTAAGTCCGCAGCCTCGCAGCTCTCCTCACCAACCGAGGGGTTTGGGGGGGTGACTAGCTCCCTGCAAGGACGGATTCCAGGAAACCTGATCTCCAAATATATCCCTAGATTTCATAACTGCTGTTTCTGTTTTTTCTTTTTTTTTGAGAGAGAAAGGGAGAGAGAGAGAAACATCAGTGATGAGAGGGGGTCCTTGAGCGGCTGCCTCCTGCATGTCCCCTACTGGGGATCAAGCCTGTGACCCGAATCGAACCATGACCTGATTCATAGGTCGGAGCTCAACCGCTGAGCCACACCGGCCAGGCCTTCACTGTGGTTTCTTTTCGTGGCCTTGACGCCCAGAGCAAGAAAAGTATTGCAGATGAAATGAGGGAAAATGTGATGATTTGGGGAAACCCATTTTCCTCCGTTTTGCACTATTTTATTGCCTCAGAGAATCCAAAGAGCATTTATTAGCGCCACAGTGACCGTAACCTTCCCGGCAGGAAAAGGGAAGTTTCAGGAGGAAAAGACAGGAGCGGAGGGTCGGTCAGTCCCCTGACCCCGTGCGGCCCTGAGCTCAGGCCTCTGCCAGGGCCTGACCTCGCAGCCAGTGCTCTGGACAGACCCACAGGCTCCCCTCGGTGCTGCCCGTGCCCCCCACTGACGGGAACAGGAGGCCTGTGACCGGCTGCAGAGCAGGTGGTGCCAGGCCTCCGGCCTCTGCCACCTGGTGCGGCTCCCAGGGGACGGCTCGGGTCTCTGCCTGCGCATCCAGCCAGCCTTCGCCCTTAGCACATTCCTTCTGGCCTGAGCTTGTGAGTGCGTTGTGCAATGCTGGCGAGGTTTGCATCAGCGCCGGCCAGCACATCGCTCGCAGGACAGGCGCCAGAACGGAGAGCTCATTGGCATTCCACTGGGCCCCGTGGAATGGGGAGCCGGGAGGAGCTGCCAGGCCCTTGTCTCCCCGGACCTCCTCCTGCATCTCTGATCCACCCCCTCGTCCGCCACCCCAACCCCATGTGCCCAGACCAGTCTGTTTGGCCCCCGGAGGACTGAGCTGTCGGGGGGGCCGAGCTGTGGGAGGATTGACCTGTGGGAGGACTGACCTGTAGGGACTGAGCTGTCGGAGTTAGCAGGCTGACTCAGCCACAAGTGCTGCTTAACTGCGTCCCGGGACTCCTGCACAGCGGGACTCCGCCCGCGCCCTGCCTGCTTTCCGTCCCAGCCGCGCGTGTGGCATTCAGGCCTTCTCCTTGTCGCCCACCGCACTCCCAGCTCTAGCAGTGTGTGTGCAAAGTGACTTTCTCCGGCGCCAGTGGGTCCCAGCCGGACCCCAGGGCATCCTCTCAGAGAAGAGGAGTCTGTCCCCAGGGAACTGACAGGAGTCTGCACGTCTGTCCCAGGGCTGGGCCCAGTGCACACCGGCATCTCAGAGGCACCTGTCTGCCTCCCTGTCCAGCCCAGCCTGAGAGAGGGCCTCCCACCTGCCGGGTGACCTCACTGCGTCTTCGCCTTCGTCTCAACCTGAGACCAGACCGGCAGCTGCACTGCCCACAAGGCAGGGTGCTGCCCACAGGCAGGGTGCTGCCCAGCATCTGGAAGGAAACAGACCCCGTGGTTTCCGTTGCACAACATCCGGCCTTTGCTGGGCTCGCACGTCTGTTGAGGTTTCCTTCCTTCGGGAGCATGTGAGATGGGCTCCGCGGGTGTGCAGCAGCCCTGGGAGGCAAGGCCCCCGGCCGGCCCGCAGCAGCCCCCGTGCGGTGGCGCCGTCTTTCACAAAGAGCTTGCAGGCCGGAGCCGAGCCGCCTGTCCGCGCTCTGCCTGTGGTGGGGAGGGACAGTGAGGGGCCGAGGTCCACAGACCAGGGAGTCTGGGCATAAGGCACACCGGAGAGAACTGTGTCTCAGAGGTGGTTTGTTTTTCCTTGTTTTGTGTGTGTATGTCTTCACGATGTCATCATAGTTCCAGGATTGTCGTAACAATTTTTTTACTACATTTTTATTGATTTCAGAGAGAAAGGGAGAGAGAGAAACATCAGCGAAGAGAGGATCATTGATCAGCTGCCTCCTGCACGCCCCCTACTGGGGATCGAGGCCCCCCCCCCCCCCCCCCCCCAGGCATGTGCCCTGACCGGGAATCAACCAGCGACCTCTTGGTTCACGGATGGAGCTCAACCACTGAGCTCGCCGGCCGGCAGGCCAGAGTGTGTTTTTAAAGGGACCGAGCTGATTGTCTCTTGTGTTTTGTTTTGAATGTCCTGGACTTGTGCTTTGCTCCAAAAGATAATACTCCTATTTCTCCACATAAACACCCGGGCCACAGCCACCGCCGTTCCTAGGTGCTGGGTCTTCTGGGAGCCGGGCACCGAGCTGTCCGTGTGTGTGTGTGTGTGTGTGTGTGTGTGTCCGTGTGTGTGTCCGTGTGTGTGTGTGTGTGTGTCCGTGTGTGTGTGTCCGTCCGTGTGTGTGTGTGTGTGTCCGTGTGTGTGTGTGTCCGTGTGTGTGTCCGTGTGTGTGTGTCTGTGTGTCCGTGTGTGTGTGTGTGTCCGTGTGTTCGTGTGTGTGTCCGTGTGTGTGTGTCCGTCCGTGCGTGTGTGTGTGTGTCCGTGTGTGTGTGTGTCCGTGTGTGTGTCCGTGTGTGTGTATCCGTGTGTGTGTGTCCGTGTGTGTGTGTGTCCGTGTGTGTGTGTATCCGTGTGTGTGTGTCCGTGTGTGTGTGTGTCCGTGTGTGTGTGTATCCGTGTGTGTGTGTGTGTGTGTGTGTGTCCGTGTGTGTGTGTGTGTGTGTGTGTGTGTCCGTGTGTGTGTGTGTGTGTGAGGTGCAGGAGGGAAGGTCTCAGTTCTGTTTCTTCCATTCGGGGGCAGAGTTTTACTCGTTCCCGGAATTTTGGGAACTCTGCCACCTGAGTGAGGGGAGGGGAGGGGAAGGGGAAGGGAGGGCTAATGGTGCCGAGGAACGATGCTCAGTTCCACTCAGTCCCACCGTTTGCGGACGGGGTTGCCTAGTCGGAGGCAAGGCCGGCGGGAGTCCCGGGGGGCGCCCCAGAGCTCACGGGTTTCACCAGGTGCCGGCGAGGGCCGGCCGCCCGTCCCTCAGCCCGCCCCTCTGCCACAGATCATGGGAAACGCGTCCGAGTTCCAGAAGGCGGTCAAGCTGGTGATCAACACCGTGTCGTTCGACAAGGACTCCACCGTGCAGGTCTTCGAGGCCACGATCAGGTGAGGCGGCGGAAGTGCCGGCGCCGGCTCCGTGGGGAGACACTCCCGGGAACGGCACCGGCCACGATCGAGGCAGAGTCCACGGAGGCCGCATGGCACCGGCCACGTTACCCTTCACTCGGCGGGTCAGAGACCTCGCACTTTGGACTGGCCGGAAAGACACGCTTTGACGGGGGTGAGGGGGCCCTCACGCGGGACTGGGCTCGTGTCCTTCCTTCGCGGTGTCCTGGGAAACGCCGGGAATTTCTGACGGAAATGGGCGCCCATCGCCGCCGCCGCCACCGAGGGGGGCCCTGCTCCCCGCCTGGCTGTGCTTCCTCCTGCGTGTGTGCCACTGACGCTGGGGCATGCGTTCCGTTCCGGGCCCAGCTGTACTTTACCTGTTGAGCTCGATGTATCATGACTATTTTTCTGTCATTTAAACTTTTTAAAAAATATATTTTATTGATTTTTACAGAGAGGAAGGGAGAGGGATAGAGAGTTAGAAACATCGATGAGAGAGAAACTTTGATCAGCTGCCTCTTGCACACTCCCTATTGGGTATGTGCCTGCAATCAAGTTACATGCCCTTGACTGGAATCGAACCTGAGACCCTTCAGTCCACAGGCCAATGCTCTATCTATTGAGCCAAACCGGTTAGGGCTCTTTTAAACTTTTTAAAAATATATTTTTATTGATTTCAGAGAGAAAGGGAGAGAGACATAGAGACATCAATGATGAGAGAGAATCATTGGCCAGCTGCCTCCTGCACGCCCCACACTGGGGATGGAGCCCACAACCCGGGCCTGTGCCCTGACCGGAAACCAAACTAACCTCCTGTTCATAGATCCATACCCACTGAGCCACACCAGCCAGGCTCACTTAAACTTTTTGAAATTTGGTTACTGTGTAGTATTCCAGAGGTCACGTTGAAGTTAGGAAAGCGTTCATTCTGGAAAGAGTCACACCCTGCTCAGATCACTGAGAGACACGGCCCTCGGCTGGGCTCCCTGTGAGTAGGTCTCCCTCGCCTCCTGGAGAGGCTGGAGAATGGCTCCTCCGATGCTCGGCGCCAGAGCGAGAGATTTCACCTGTGCTCTGTTGTCGGCTCTGTTTCTTAGAATCTACGCGTTCCCCCACGTGAGGGAAGCAGCGCGATGTCTCAGCATAAAGGTCGTGTTCACCTGAGAGCGATTCAAGGCCCCCCCCAACCCCCCGCACGGCCACCCCTCCCCTGCCGCCCCACTGAGCGCTGAGGTGGCAGACCTCGCTGTTACCTCCCGCGGCCTCACCCCCGCGCCCCCAGATGAGTGCCCCGTCACTTCCTGTCAGTAAAGTGGTGACTGAGAGCAGGCGGTTCTTTCCGGGCTGGGGAGCCCCCGGGGCCCGGGCCCGCCCCCCGAGCGCAGGCAGCGTCGGGGTGGCTTTGTCTCTCCAACAGGATCGTGTGCCTTCACGGCGAATGCGATCCGGCCGTTCCTGTGTCCCTCCCACCACAGGGTCCTGGGCAGCCTCCTGTCCGCCCACAGGATCATCACGGACGCCAAGCAGCCCTTCGGCGACATGACCATCAAGGACTACGACAACGAGCTGCTGCACATGGCCCACGACCTGGCCGTGCGGCTGCTGCCGGCCTTCGAGAACACCAAGACCGGGATTCCCTACCCCCGGGTAAGCAGCCGCTCGGCCGGCTCCCGGTGGAGACCTCTGGGGGGAGAGGGGCTGTGTCTGAGAGAGAACCTGGCCCTGCCTACGATGCAGATGTTTCTCCGTTCCTCGGCGTTTGCTGAGCACCTACTGCGTGCGGGCGCACAGCGTGTCTGCCTGATCTCCTCAGGACAGAGCTGTGTTCTGCTCAGCATCGCCCTCCATGGGGAGGTTATCCCCGCTGTGAGCGGTGGGGGGTGTCTTTGCCTCCCCGGGGCACCTCTCCCAGACCCTCTGTGGCTGTCGGAGCTGGGGCTGTCCTATGACCGCCCCACGGCTGCTTCCCGGGGAGCCGCACAGACAGCACGTTCCCTGCTGGGTAAATGCCAGCCCTGGAGGGAGAGCCCGTCCCTGCGGTCTGATTGGCCGAGCCCAGGACTCCTGGGACGTGAGTCAGCCGTGGCTCGGCAGAGAGTGGCCCGGCCGGCGCCACGGTGATGGTGACGGTAACGGAGCGGCCTGTCCGCCTCGCTGGGCCTTTCTCTCCCAGGCTGAGAGGAGGGAGCACGGGAGCGCCCACAAACACGTGACCGCACGGCCCCGCTCCTAGGCAGGCCTCCCCTTTGTGTGTCTGCAGCTCCCGAGCTCCTCCAGCCTGGCGCGAGGAGGGGATCTGACCCCCACAACTCATTCTAGGGGTGGGGCCTGGCCTGCCGGCCCTGTAGGTTCCTTTTTTGTTTTTTAAGTATCAATAATTTTTTTTAATATATATATTCTATTGATTTTTTACAGAGAGGAAGGAAGAGAGATAGAGAGCTAGAAATGTCGATGAGAGAGAGACATCGACCAGCTGCCTCCTGCACACCCCCTACTGGGGATGTGCCCGCAACTCAGGTACCTGCCCCTGACCAGAATCGAACCCGGGACCTTTCAGTCTGTAGACCGATGCTATACCGCTGAGCCAAACCGGTTTCGGCCCTGCAGGTTCCTTGAGTTTTGCCACAACCCCCCCCCCCCTTTTTTTTTTTACTTTAAGACTTTTATTGATTTCAGAGGGAGAGAGAGAAACATCAGTGATGAGAGAGAATCACCGGCCGCCGCCCCCTGCACTCCCCACACCAGGAACTGAGCCCACAGCCCGGGCCTGTGCCCGGACCGGGATCGCACGGTGACCTCTCGGTTCATAGGCCGATGCTCATCCACTGCGCCACGCCGCCCAGGCACCACGAACCTGTCTCTCCGTCCCCAGGTGAACCTGAAGACAGGGGTGCCCCCCGACAGCAACAACGAGACGTGCACGGCCGGCGCCGGCTCCCTGCTGGTGGAGTTCGGGATGCTGAGCCGGCTGCTGGGCGACTCCACCTTCGAGTGGGTGGCCCGCCGCGCGGTGAAGGCGCTGTGGAGCCTCCGGAGCAGCGGCACCGGGCTGCTAGGTGTGTGCCGCCTCCCGCCACGGGACTGCCGCCTGGGCCCCCATCCCTTCCCCTCCTCCTCCTCCTCCTCCTCCAGCCACGGGACTGCCCACCTGGCCCTGTCCTTCCCTTTCCCCTCCTCCTCCTCCTCCCCCTCCTCCTCCTCCAGCCACGGGACTGCCCACCTGGGCCCCCATCCCTTCTCCTCCTCCTCCTCCTCCTCCTCCTCCTCCTCCTCCTCCTCCAGCCATGGGACTGCCCGCCTGAGCCCCATTCCTTTCCCCTCCTCAGGGCGCTCCCCTCTCCCCTCCCCTGAACCATTGAATCTGAGAAGTGACCCCTCAGCGATGGGCCCTCAGTGTCTGCCCCCCCAGTGTCCTCCGGGGACTTTGCTCAGAGGACACCGTCCCTTTCGCATTCAGTGTGTCCCGTGTTGGCATCAGGCTCAGGCTGCTGCTGCTGAGCTACCTGGGAACGAGGACAGTTTGAGGGCCCAGCTCCCCGTCCTTGTGCTGGGGCAGGGGCCCCGGAAGGGGCTGCCCCACTCCCTGCCCCGACAGCGGGAGCCTGACCACTCGGTCCGCGTCCGCAGGCAACGTCGTCAACATCCAGACGGGCCACTGGGTGGGGAAGCAGAGTGGCCTGGGCGCCGGGCTGGACTCCTTCTACGAGTACCTCCTCAAGTCCTACATCCTCTTCGGCGAGAAGGAGGACCTGGACATGTTCAACGCCGCCTACCACAGCATCCAGAGCTACCTGCGCCGCGGGTACGGCCGCGGCCAGAACCGCCGGCCGGCGGCTGGGGGTCTCGGCAACTCGGGCCTCTTGTAGGCGGCTTCCCTCGGGGAGAGACCGTGTGCTTTCCTGACCTGTTCTCGGTGACAGGCCGGCACAGCGCCGTGCGGGGCGGCCACTGAGTCGCTGTGGACCTTTACTCTGGCCTGTCCCCTCTGAGAGCCAGGCTGGCCCCGCCTCCCTCTGCCGGTCTAAACCGCCTGGACCCTGCTCAGCGGTGCATCCGGCGGCGGCGGTGGCCTGGCGTCTCCCCTGGCCTCACTGAGGTCTCGCTCGGGGCTCCGCCTGGACCCGTCCCACACGGGCTGCCGTGGGAGCCCCCGAGTGCCTCCCGCTCTCGGCCACTCATGCTGTGGGAGCGGCAGCTTGTCCTGGTTTTGAGAGGGAGGGAGGGAGGGAGGGAGGGAGGGAGGAAACATCGGTGAGAGAGACACCCACCAGTGGCTTCTTGCATGTGTCCCCAGCTGGTTCTTAGGAGGCAGCTGATCGATGTTTCTAACTCCATCCCTCTCTCTTCCTCTCTGTAAAAAATCAATAAAATATATTTTTTAAAAAGGGGGGGTAGGAGGAAGGCTCCTGCTGACGCCATGGAAGCAGAACTTGGGGCCACGGGGGTGAGCCTGGCCTGTCCCATCCGCTCACCCGCGCTCTCCCTGCAGCCGGGAGGCCTGCAACGAGGGCGAGGGGGACCCCCCGCTGTACGTCAACGTGGACATGTTCAGCGGGCGGCTGATGAACACGTGGATGGACTCGCTGCAGGCCTTCTTCCCGGGGCTGCAGGTACGCTCCCTCCCCTGGCCGCCTGCTCCGGCGCCTTCGGATCGGAGGGCAGTGGCAGGGCGTGTCTGGTTCTGTGGTGGAGTGAGTTCCAGGATGTTGGACGGGGCCACAGATGAGGGGAAGCCGTGCCCGAAAAGTGGCCCGATCGTGTTCGGGTGCCCCTCGCTGTCCGTCTGTGACCACAGCGACGCCCTGCAGTGCCGTGCCCGGCCTCCTGGGGAGGCCTCTCCTGCTGGTGCCCTGGGGAGGCCTCTCCTGCTCTGGCGCTGCCCTGGGTTGTCTCCAGCCGGGGTGGGCGTGGGTGTGGCGAGGGGAAGCCGGAGCGTTCTCTCCAGCCAGGGTGGGTGTGGGTGTGGGTGTGGCGAGGGGAGCCAGAGCGTTCTCTCCAGCCGGGGTGGGGGTGGGTGTGGGGAGGGGAGGGGAGCCGGAGCGGTCTCTCCAGCCGGGGTGGGGGTGGGTGTGGGGAGCGGAGCCGGAGCGTCCTCTCCAGCCGGGGTGGGTGTGGGTGTGGGGAGGGGAGCCGGAGCGGTCTCTCCAGCCGGGGTGGGTGTGGGTGTGGGGAGGGGAGCCGGAGCGGTCTCTCCAGCCGGGGTGGGTGTGGGTGGGGGGAGGGGAGGGGGAGTGGGTGGGGGGAGGGGAGGGGAGCCGGAGCGTTCTCTCCAGCCGGGGTGGGTGTGGGGAGGGGAGGGGAGCCGGAGCGTTCTCTCCAGCCGGGGTGGGTGGGGGGAGGGGAGGGGAGCCGGAGCGTTCTCTCCAGCCGGGGTGGGTGTGGGGAGGGGAGGGGAGCCGGAGCGTTCTCTCCAGCCGGGGTGGGGGTGGGTGTGGGGAGGGGAGCCGGAGCGTTCTCTCCAGCCGGGGTGGGTGTGGGTGGGGGTGGGTGTGGGGAGGGGAGCCGGAGCCGTGGGCCTGAGTGCTAGCCGGCGGCCGTGCCTCCGCAGGTGCTGATCGGAGACGTGGAGGACGCCATCTGCCTGCACGCCTTCTACTACGCCATCTGGAAGCGCTACGGGGCGCTCCCCGAGCGCTACAACTGGCAGCTGCAGGCCCCCGACGTCTTCTTCTACCCGCTGCGGCCCGAGCTGGTGGAGTCCACCTACCTCCTGTACCAGGTGCGGGCTGGCCCTCGGCGCCGGCCGCTGGGGCCTGGGGGCTGGCTCTCGGGAGCCCCTGCTGGTTGGTGTGGGCTCTCGTTTCCGGTCGTTCTGACAGTGACCTGTCCGGGCGTCTGCTGTCAGCGTCACATGGGCGGGGATGGCTTACAGGCTCAGCCCCGGCCTGGTCGGGGCAGGGGGGCAGGGAGACAGCCAGTCCGGGTGTCTCTTTCGGTGCTTTCTCTCTCTCTCTCCCACTCTCTCTCTCTCTCTCTCTCTCTCTCTCTCTCTCTCCCCTCTCCTCCCTCCTCCCTTTACTCTATAAAAAAAAAAATCAAGACAAAACCAGTTTGGCTCAATGGATAGAGCATCGGCTTGGGGACTGAAGGGTCCCGGGTTCGATTCCGGTCAAGGGCATGTACCTTGGTTGTGGGCACATCCCCAGTGGGGGGTGTGCAAGAGGCAGCTAATCGATGACTCTCTCATCGATGTTTCTAACTCTCTCTCTCTCTCCCCCCCTTCCTCTCTGTACAAAGTCAATAAAATATATTAAAAAATAATAATAAAATAAAAATAAAAAACCAGAAGAAAACTATTCTCAGGTGAGGATAAAAAAGCTGACCCTCACCGGTGAAACAGTTGGAGGAAGTCTCACCTTCCCAGCAAACCCTTTCCTAAGGAGCCTCCGGGCCCGGGCTGAGCTGGGCGACCGGAGGGCCGAGAGCCGCCGCCAGGAGGCTGTGCGGAGCCTGGGCAGAGGCTCAGGCTGCGGGGAGTTCTGAGGCAGGGCGGGCACTGGCGGGCTCAGATGGCACTGGGGAGGCCTGGCTGGTGGCTCAGGAAGGCGGGCAGGTGTGCCCAGCCACGGGAGCCGGCGGGAGCTGACACTCAGCCCTGGACGCTGTGACCCTCGGGCCGGGCCCTGCGCCTCCTGTGGCCGTGACTCCTCACCCAGACGCCCGCTGCGGGCGGTGCTGCGGGTTGTGGCATGTCCCCCCCCCGCCCAGCTGGCTCACGCTCTCCCCTCTCCAGGCGACCAAGAACCCCTTCTACCTCCACGTGGGCATGGACATCCTGCAGAGTCTGGAAAAGTACACGAAAGTCAAGTGAGTTCTCCCCGTTCCTCTCCTGCTGGTGGGATCGGTTCCCGGGGAGCTGCTGGGGGTGGGGGTGGGGTGGAGAATGGGGTTCTCACATGGTCACGTGGCGGGCGGGGCCTCATCTTGATTTGCAGGGAAGTTGGGGTCCCTTGGGGGGGGGCGGGTGCTGGCAGACTGCGGGACTGAATTCTTCCCAAGTAACTTCCCCGTTTCTCACGTAAAATACACACTGGGACTGTCCTGGGCTGCCATGTGCAGAGAGGAGCACAGACTTTACGTGTGTGCTCATCGTTTGTATGTATCGTATGTAGCGTGTGTGCATGCATGTATTGTATAAGAAAAGATGTTTCCGTTTTGTGACCTGCATGTTTACCGAGCAGCACGTCCTGAGTATTTTTTATAAACTGTCGTCTTAGACTTTCCAAATAATACGTCAGGTTTATAAATATTAGGATGGAAAACGTTAATCATCCTGAATTCGTCCCAGTCGTTTCTCGATGTTAGGTATGCTCTCAGCAAACCTGCCAGCCCCCGCCCCCCCCCTCCCCAACCTGGCGATTCGGCCGCCAAATCTGTTGTGTGTGTTTTTTAATACATTTTATTGATTTTTTACGGAGAGGAAGGGAGAGGGATAGAGTTAGAAACATCAATGAGAGAGAAACATCAATCAGCTGCCTCCTGCACACCCCCTACTGGTTAGGTGGTTATGTGCCTGCAACCGAGGCATGTGCCCTTGACCAGAATCGAACCTGGGACCCTTGAGGCCGCAGGCCGACGCTCCATCCACTGAGCCACACCGGTTAGGGCTGCCAAATCCGTTTTTAAACGAATGTGCAGGCAGGCTCGGCTAAGGCGGGCAGCGCTGAAACCGGGCGTAGCCTGTTTACCGTGGCATTTGCCGGTGGGGCTGGTATTCCGGGACGGACTCCGCTCCGGGAGCGGCAGGGCTGACTCTGCTTTGCAGGTGCGGGTACGCCACGCTGCACCACGTCATTGACAAGTCCAAGGAGGACCGCATGGAGAGCTTCTTCCTCAGCGAGACCTGCAAGTACCTGTACCTGGTACGTGGGGCCCCAGGCGGCGGGGAGCCGGGCAGGCCACACAGTGCTGCCCGGGACACGGATACAGCGGGCAGACACGGGCACAGCGGGCAGACACGGGCACAGCGGGCAGACACGGGCACAGCGGGCAGACACGGGCACAGCGGGCAGACGCAGGCTCATCGGGCAGACACGGGCACAGCGGGCAGATGCGGGCTCAGCGGGCAGACGCGGGCACAGCGGGCAGACACGGGCACAGCGGGCAGACACGGGCACAGCGGGCAGACGCAGGCTCATCGGGCAGACGCGGGCACAGCGGGCAGACGCAGGCTCATCGGGCAGACGCGGACACAGCGGGCAGACGCGGGCTCAGCGGGCAGACGCGGGCACCGCGGGCAGACGCGGGCACAGTGGGCTCAGCGGGCACAGTGGGCTCAGCAGGCAGACGCGGACACAGCGGGCAGACGCGGGCACAGCGGGCAGACGCGGGCTCAGCGGGCACAGCGGGCAGACGCGGACGGCAGGCCCCCCGCGGCTCCTGACCGTGCGTGGAGGGGCACGTCCAGCAGACGGAGATGTGAAATGGCAGGGAGTGCGAAGGGTGGTGACGGTTTGTATTCCGTGGCGTTGGGCCTGGGCCTTGGGGCGCTGGCCGGGGGACATCTGAGGTGAAGCAGGTGCCTCAGACCCGCAGCCGCTGGGACCGTGGGCCCCTGAGAGCGAGGTGGCAGCTCCTGGGGTGGGCGCCGAGGTCGTCCGCCAGCTTCCGACCGCTCTCCTCCGCCAGCTGTTCGACGAGGAGAACCCGGTGCACAAGGCCGGCACCCGGTACATGTTCACCACCGAGGGCCACGTGGTGTCGGTGGACCGGCACCTGCGGGAGGCGCCGTGGAAGGAGTTCTTCCCCGAGGAGCCCGGGCGCGCGGCCGGGTCCCTGCACAGGCCGGCGGCCCCCGACCTGAGAGCCCTCAACTCCAGCTCCAACGTGAGTTGCTTTTCGGGGTCGCTTTGTGGTGGACGGAGAAGGCGCCTCTGACTAACAGGCGGTCACAGGCGCCGGGGCGAGGGAGCCGCGGAGCGGTGGCCGCCACTCTGGCCGAGGGGTCGATGGCTACGCTCACGTATAGACCTCGTTCTGGGGTCAGCGCCGGGCACAAGCCGATCCAGGGGCCCGGTTCTGATAGGTCCTGGCTGCTCGGGAGACCGGCTCCTCCCCAGCAGCCACAGAGCTGTCAACACAGGGCACCTGCGGGGAAAGCCTGGAGGGCTTCCCGGAGGAGCTGGCCTTTCAGTGGGTCCTGGAGGGGAGGAGGCCCCGCAGGGAGGAGGTTCAGGCAGGGGAAGCGCAGGGTGGGGGTGAAGTAGGGTGGAGGGTGGGAGGATGCGGGTTCAAGCTGAGGGCCTTGTTAAGACTCTTCGAGGATGAGGAGCAGCGAGGTGCGTCCCAGTGGATGTGTTCCTTGTGGTGCTTCCGGACCACGTTTGGTCCTGACCTCGCTCTCCTCCGAGGGGGCGCGGCCTCCAGTCACCCCCAGAGATGCACGCGTGCCTTAGGGTCTGGCCGTGGCCGAGAGGAACGTAAGCCAGAGGAGCCCAGGAGCCCAGAGAGCGAGCTTTCTGCAGACCCCGCGCGCTCAGAGTCCGGCCACTGCGCACGTGGTGGGCGTCGGCCTCCCGGGTCCGCCTGCACCCTGGGAGGCGAGGGCGCCCCCCACCCCAGTGCCCCAGCGGGTGCCACTCCTCCAGGGAGCGCCCCGGTGGTCACCTCTGGGGGCGCGGCCGGGTCATCTCATGGCAGAGGCCAGGGTGCTGCCAGCACCTGCCTCACCCGGGACACGCAAGCCGGCTGCAGTGCCCGGCCGAGAGGCTCAGCATGTGGAGGGCTTTTATACTTTTTTATTGGCTTCAGAAGGGAAGGGAGAGGGAGAGCGAGACAGAAACATCAGTGATGAGAGAGAATCATTGATCGCCTGCCTCCTGCACCCCCTTCCTGGAGATCAGTCCCCTAACCCGGGCCTGTGCCCTGACCTGGAATTGACCTGTGACCTCCTGGCTCATAGGTCGAGGCTCAGCCACTGAGCCGCACTGGCCGGGTCAGCACACGATCTTTAACTGGAAATTCCCGGGGTCCCATTTCTCTCTAGTGCAACCGCGTCCCCGACGAGAGGAGGTACTCGCTGCCCCTGAAGAGCGTCTACATGCGCCAGATCGACCAGATGGTCGGCCTGATCTGACTGCTGGCTGCTCTGGGCCCTGCCGCCCGAACCAAAGGCGGCATCCGCCACGCCGGCCACGCCGGGACCCTGTCAGCTCCTCGCCCGCGTCCAGCAGTGTCCTGCTTCCCTAGTGTTTCTCTCTGTCAATAAAAAGCCGCTTTCTTACGGGTGTGATGTGAGGTGAGAGGAGCTGCTGATGCCATCGGCACCACGGACGATCTCCGTGCCCGGACACCGTGTGGCCGCCCCCGTCAGCGCCTGTGGATGGAGCCTGCGGAGGCCTGCGTCCCGGCCTCCCTGCCTGCTGCCTTTGTCGTCCTCTCTCCGTCGGATCACTGGGCTCTCCCGGTGTCAGCGTCGCCGTGACGGTGGGTCACGTGGGGAGAAGAAGCCATCAGCGGCCTGTTAGCCCCCGGAGCCCTCGCCGTGTTGCCGGTTCTGCGCTGACGAGTAGCCGTCCGTGGCGGCGTCGCACCGAGCTTCGAGGGGGACCCCGGACGTGTCTGACCGTCGCTGGGACTGCCTGGGGGCTGCGTAGCCCCAGAACCAGGTGCCTTTTGGGGAGAGAAGCACCCCGAGCCTGCCTCTGCTGCGCCCGCCACGTGGTCACGGACCAGGATGCTCAGCTCCGACCGTGTCCGTGTCTGTCTCCGTGTCTCGTGCCAAGTACCTGAGTCAGGGAGCCGGTGCCCGCGACCAGTGCCTTACGTGGTCACAGCTGCCGCCGTGGCTCCAACAGGCATGTTCTGTGTAGCCACATGGCGGGATGGGGAACGAACGGTGGGTGGGGCGGGCGTGTTCGGAAGAGTCTGCAGCTTCCTGGCCAGTCCCGGCCTTTCCGCCTGCTGGGCTGGCTCCGAGGAGGAGCCTGTGCTGAAATGCTGTCTCCCTTCCTCCTGTCTCCCATTCCCGGCCAAACGAGGGCCCCTCGCCGAGCCAGGGGTGCGAACCTCACCTGCTCCCGTGGCCTCGGGGACCTGAGCCCAGAGGAAGGGGGAGTCTCACCCCCATCACGGGCCCACCTGCACTGCGTGCACTTCGATTCCTTCCTCCATCTTAAAACGGGAGCCGCACAGCGCAGGCCCCGGCTCCGCCCCCACAGGCGTGGCTCCGCTCGGAGTTTTAAAGGGTTTTCAGTAACAGATGTGTCACCTCCCTCTCCAGCGTTCACTATGCAAATTGTTTAAAGGAGAACCTTCCTGTCAGAGGCGTCTGTGCCGGTCTTGTCTCCGCTGCTGAATAGAGAGTTGAGTTGTCTAAAGGGTCGTACAGATTTTAAGTGTTCTCATGGACTCGGAGAACCCCAGTGTCCCGGGTTAGATGCACAGGCAGGCCGAGCGGGTCCTCCCCGCTGCGCTCCCGCCCCCGGCCTCCCTGCCACGCCTCCCCCTGCACCTTCTCCCGGGATTAGGCAGGCTGACGCCTCAGCACCCGTTTGGACGATGGGTCACATTAGGCAGGAAAGCGGGGCCCGAGCGTCCGTGTGTTTTCTCTCGATCGTTGCTGCCCTGGCTTCCTCCCGGCTTGGGAATAGCCCCGTGCTGGGCCTGCCTGCCTCCTCCACCAGGGAGGGCCCGGCCTCCAGGGACCCAGGCGTGTCCTGTATTGTGCCTCACAGCCTCTGGTTCCCGGCCCCGGGCTCATCCTGGGTGGGCGGCTACGGCACGGCGGGCCCCGCTCGAGTGGGAGGGGCTGCGGGATGTGGGCGGGTGCCCTTGCAGCCAGGGCACACCGGCGGGTCCGTGGCTGTTCTGAGGGCGGTGCGGGCGGGAGGCTGAGCGGGCGGTGCCGGAGAGGCCCTCGCTGGCTTTGCTCCAACGCCCTGGCTCGCCCGTCACCCCCGGCTCAGCCGTGCCCCTGCCACGCTCTTGGTCCACGTGATGCTGGTGTCGGTCTGCTTTGGTGGCTGAGCAGCAGGGTTTGGGAAGGCTGCTCCGGTTCCGCCTGGCGTGGGCGGCCTCGCCGCGATAGAGGATGTGACGGGAACCCCACTTCCTGCGACGAGAGGTGACAGGAAGTGCTGCCAGCCCAGCATGGCACCGCCTCTGAGAGGCCGCCTGGACCACGGTTGGCGAGCTCCCGGGCTTCTGTGTGCGCCCAGCTGGGCCTGCAGGGGGCCAGGCCCGGGCCGTTGGGGGGCGGGAGCCTGGTGCTCCCTCTGCCTCGAGCACTTTCCTCCGCTCAGTTCCTTCCTTCCTTCCTTCCCCGCGCTCCGGCACTTTCTCTCTGACGCGGCTCTGACAGGTGCGGGCCCTGAGTGGTGATGGCGCCTGTCGGAAACCTCCGTCTTCCCTCTCCGTCCGCACCGGCCGGCGGCCCTCCCCGCAGGCAGGCGTCTGTGAAGGGGCAGCGGGCGGTGCGGGCTGGGGGGCTCAGGGCTCCCCTCCCCTGGACGGCTGCGAGGCTGGTTCAGTTCCTGTGGACCCTCCCCCGCCCCTTCTCAGGCAGAGAAATAAATGGTCTTAAAGGTATTTAAGTAGCGAACCCCACACTGCGTTGTTATTTATTACCGAGAAACGTGAGTCTGGTTTTGAGAAGAGACCCAGAGGGAGCTGGGAGCCTCTGTGCAATAGGCCTGCGCTGCAGCGGGTTCCTGTCGGGCTGTAAAGAGGTGTGTGTGCGTGAAACGCGCCTTTTGTAAAGGACCAAACGCTTTTATAAATGTATGAGACATATCTTGCTCTTTGAAATTTACTAGGATTTTTATGAGCCGTTTTTATTAAAAGGTTCGCTTTTTTGGCGTCGTTTCGTGTCTCCTTTCCACGCGCACACGGACACGCTGCCCGCGGAGCAGGCGGAGGGGCGGGGGTCTTTGAGGGAAAGGAAAAGTTAGGTGCCAGGGCTTCTCACAGCTAAGCCTCGCCCTGCCCCACTCTGCCTGCCCTGCACCTCCTCCGGGGAGGCCCCTCTCAGACGGGGGGGGGGGCCATGCCCTTGATGTGGGGGCTCTGCCCAGAGAAGCAGGCCGGGGCCTCCCGGGGACAGATGGGGCCTCGAAGGTTGCTGATTCTGCCTCTGTGGCGTCTTGGGGGGGGAGGGGGGGCCGCTCTGTGCACAGGTGATTCTGAGGAGCCTTTTAAAAACAGAATATTCCACGGGGCGAAGGAGAGAGCCCTGAGGCTGGCGAGGCACAGCTGATGCCAAAGCACAGGCGTGGGGGCCGGCGGCCTGGCTGCCAGTCCCGTGGCTCCGTGGCCTCTTTGTTGTCAATCCTCACCTGAGGGTACTTTTCTGTTGAGTTTAGAGAGAGTGGAAGGGAAGGGGAGCGACAGGAGGAGAAAGATTGATGTGAGCGAGATGCATCGATTGGCTGCCTCCTGCCTGGACCCCAGCCGGGCTGGGAATCAAGCCTGCCACCGAGGACCTGCTCCTGACCGGACTGGAACCCTGGACCCTTCAGTCCTCCGCTGACGCTCTACCCCCGGAGCCAGTAACCTCATGAGGCTGAGCAGGCCCAGCACGCTGCCCAGGGCCCCCGAAGAGCCAGCTGACCCTGCAGCCTGCCTGCCTCCCTCTCCCAGGGCCGAGCCCGGGCCGTGGCAGTGAGTGGCCTGTGCAGACCCCGGGGAGCGCGGGCTCAGCGGAGGGACCCCCTGCAGCCCAGCGTCCCTCCAGCAGCTCTGTGCGGTGGGAGGGACAGAAGAGGCCCTGCCGAGTCTCCATGGGCCCCCTGCGGCTGGGCTTTGCTCGCAGCTTGTTCGTGAAGGTTTCACATCCATATCCTGGTGCCCGGTTAGCGGTTCTGGGTGTGAGAGGCCTGCCCTCTGATAAGGGGCCGGGGGTGCGGGGGGAACTGGCAGGTCACAGTCAGGGGCGTTTTAGGTGAGAGAACACTTTCCCCAGCTCCTCTGTGCCCCTAAGGCCCTGCCAGCAGGCTCCACAGTGGCTGTAATTCTGCTCACGTCCACCAGAGGCCACTGTCGCTTCACTTTCTCTAACGGGGCCTTTTAAAAAAAGACAAATTCTAACAACCGAGGTCCAGGAAGAGCAGCGTCTGACGTTTCCACACGCGTGCAGATTGACGGCGTGGCCCTGGGCCCCCTGCTGCGCCCTCGCGTGTGCCAGCAGAGACAATGACGATGACACTGGGTGTCTGTCGGGTCTTCCCTGCACCATCAAGCTCTTTAATGTGTTTAAATCTTTTTCAAAATACATTTTTATTGACTTCAGAGAGGAAGGGAGTAGGGGAGAAAGAGAGAGAGAGAGAGAGAGAGATCAGTAATGAATCACTGAGCAGCTGCCTCCTGCACGCCCCCTACTGGGGATCAAGCCCGGAACCCAGGCATGGGCCCTTGACCAGGAATTGAACTCTGACCTCCTGATTCCTAGGTCGCTCAGCCGCTGAGCCATGCTGGGCCGGGCAAGCTCTGTCATGCTTACCTCTCAGTTAAAATCATGATGCCTGCCTTGGGGTTCTCGTTTTCCTGAGTGTGAGTCTAGGGCCGTGGTCGGCAAACGGCGGCTTGCAAGCCACCCTGGAGTGTGGCTCTTCCACAAAACACCACGGCCTGGGCGAGTCTGTGTTGAAGAAGTTTAAGTTTAAAAAAACGTGGCTCTCGGCTGAAACCGGTTTGGCTCAGTGGATAGAGCGTTGGCCTGCGGACTGAGAGGTCCCGGGTTCGATTCCGGACAAGGGCATGTACCTTGGTTGCGGGCACATCCCCACTGGGGTGTGTGCAAGACACAGCTGATCGATCATTCTCTCTCAAAGATGTTTCTAACTCTCTGTCCCTCTCTCTTCCTCTCTGTAAAAAATCAAATAAAATATATATTTTTTAAAAACGTGGCTCTCAAAAGAAATGTCAATCGTTGTCCTGTTGGTATTTGGCTCTGTGGACTAATGAGTTTGCAGACCACTGGCCTAGGGCCTTGGGCAGTGTTCACGTGGGTCAAGCATGTCAAACTCATGCCGGCGGCCATGGGTTTGACATGCTGGATGTGGGCGGTTGAACTTCCCCTCGGGCACTCTGTCCGCCTGCAGGCTGGGCGATGGCATGTTGTGGGTAAAGCCTGGCGGTGTCTCTGGGCGCCAGGGGCACCACTCAGCTTCGGCTCTCCTTCCTCCAGCCCCTGGCACCAGCTTCGGCTCGGGGGGTCAGGAGCCCTGGTCCCCAGGAGCCTCACCCCTGCCTGCTGTGCCCATGACCCGAGCTGGCGGCAGGCGGGCAGCGGTACTTGGCGTCCACGTTGTGGCCTGGCTCTGGACGCTGCTCCTCTGAGCTGGGCGTTAGTGAACCTGTGTCTCAGCTGCCTCACCTGTTAGGAGGGGCGAATTATACCTCCTCATGGGGTACCCGGGATGGGGGCAAGGCTGGTGTGCAGGGGTGGGTCTCTCGGCAGCCCGCCTCCCCGCCCGCCCGCCCTCCTCAGATCAGCTGCTCTGTGGCGGAGGCCGGTTCTGGAGCTCACAACACGTGGTCCCGACTCATTGCCTGGGGTATGACCTGTGGTCCTTGGACCAATGGTTCTCAAAATTGCATCAGAATCTCCTGTCCTGCCCGCTGGCCTGGCTCAGGGGTTGAGCATCAACCTATGAACCTGGAGGTCATGGGTTCAATTCCTGGTCAGGGCACTTGCCTGGGTTACTATCCGATCCCCAGTAGGGGGCCTGCAGGAGGGAGTCGATCGATGATTCTCTCTCATCATTGATGTTTCTCTCTCTCTCTCCCTCTCCCTTCCTCTCTGAAATCAATAGAAAACTTTTTTTTTTTTCTTTCCAAAAACGAATCTCCTGTCCCATCCGAGATGCCGGCTCCCCCTCAGGAAAGCATGCTGGCCGCCAGGTCCTCCCTGCCGCAGGCCGAGTCAACAAGACGCCCTCACCACGCAGGCTGCACCATCGCTGAGGGCCCGGGTGAGACAGATCTGCTGAAAGGGGACTCCGCTTCCTCCCGCCCCGGGTCTCGGTTCTCAGCCTCGGGCTTGGACTGGAACTCCCCCAGCACTGCCCTGAGCCTCCCGCCAGGGCAGCTTGCTGGTGGTGGTGTTACCGGGAAGCGGACTGGCTCCGGCCAGCCCCAGCCTGTGGGTTCCTGACTTCCTGCAGGACAGATTTCACAACACGCCCAGGTGATTCAAGGAGTGCTCATGGGGGCTGGGACCGTGAACGAGGAAGGGCCTCGCATAGAGAGGCAGCAGGAAAGCCCAGATGAGCAACCCTACTCTCCGCAAAGTCAGCCAAGGGGCCTCGGGACGGGGCGGGGGGGTTAGTCTGGGACGAGCTGCCGCTGCCCGGCGCTCCCCAGGTGGAAGCCTCGGGGTCCTTTAGAGGTTAGGGGATGCAGCCTGCGGGAGAGCGAGAGGGGAAGGGGGTGGCCGCCCTGGGGCTTTGTCTCCAGCCCTGTGAGCAGAAGAGTCATCCGTCCGGCAGTGCCCGCTCAGGGTGAGGCCCTCACTGAGGGGTCACTTCAGGGCAGGGTCCTCCGTCACCGCAGCTGGTCCTGGCTTCGCCCCCCCGGGTGCTGCTGCTTCTCCGGGCCTGGAGGTGCTCACCAGGGAGGCGCCCTCTGCACCTGGTGATGCCGGCAGTGGGTCCCGCTGTCCGCCTCAGTTTCCCTCTTCTGCCTGTCCTGGCTCCCTGGCCCGTCTCATTGGGACTTCTCAGCCCCTGTCACCAGGTGAGGCCAGTCTCATCACAAACCCCTTTCCGTGTATCTTTTTAAAACCAGTCCCCTGGCGTGATGCTAACCAGTTCCTGGACGGCCTGAGTCAGTCTCACAGGGGTTGGGAGGTGGCGGCCAGACGACCCAAGTTTGAGAGCCACATTCCTGGGAGTTTACTGCATCTCGAGGCTTCCTTCCAAGGGTGCTTTCAGCAAATGTGAACATCAAATGTTAAGCAAATGCAAAAGCTGGTTCCTCACTGAGGGCCTACCATGGGCTCTGACTGGACCCTGATGGTCCTAGGCTCGTCCCAGGGGCTGACGTCAGGCAAGGCCAGGCTGCTGGTGCTGACCGTTCGCTAGGAGCTGGCAGTGTCTCAGGCCACCAAGCTCCAGCCTCCTCCAGCCTCTGGGCCTTGGCACCTGCAGGCCCCCCAGGGGAAAACTCAAGAGTTCGCTTCTTCCCAGCGGGGCCGCCTCGCGGGTGCCCGGAGGCGCTCAGGCGAGGGCTCCGGGCCGGGGATGCCGCGCAGACACACGCACGCCCGTCCACGTGCGGACGGACCCCTTCCCCGGCCACAAGTGGGGGGACCTGCGGACCCCGCCGGCGGGCAAACCCGGCTGGCCCCGAGCGGACAGGCTCGCGCACGCGCACACACGCGCACGGAGCGGACCGTCCCCCGCCGACCCCCCCTCAGGCTGGCTCGCGCATGCGCGGACACGCCCGCCGGTTCCGCCCCGACGCCCACCCGGAACAAGGAGCGGCCTGTGCGCACGCGCAGCCGAGGCCCCGCCCCTCCCGGCCGCGCCCTGGGGGCGGGGCCAGCCGGGGGCGGGTCCTGCGACACCGCCCGGGAAGCAGCGGAGCTGGGCGGCCCCCGCCACATCCTCCGCCTCCGCCTCCTCCTTCCCGGGTCTGAGCCAGCGGAGCGGAGCCAGGCCGAGCCGAGGGCTCCGAGGGCGCGGGCGGAGCAGGGCACGGAGCCATGGCGCACCAGACGGGCATCCACGGTGAGGGCGGGCGGCGGGCGGGCCGGGGCAGAGGGGCTCCCCGCCGCGGCGCCCCTCCCCGGCTCCCGGCTGCTCCCGGCTCCTCCAGCGCCGGTGGGGAAGCTTCCTGTTCCCTTTGCAGCCGCGCGTCGCCGGGGCGGCACATCTGGGGGGAGGGGGCTCCCCGTGCAGAGTTGGGGTGGGTGTGCAGGCAGGTACCCGGCTGCGGCGGAAGTTTCCGTGCTGTGGTGCCCGTGCGGGTGGAGGTAGGTGCCTGTGTGTGCCCATCTATGGGTCTGTGTGCCTCTCCGGGGGCGGGGGCGCCCGGATGCGCACATCTGGGGAGGTGTGCACGCATGTTCACTCGCCTGGTGTGCACAGCCCTGTGTGTGCCCAGCTGGGTGCACACACACATACACACACCAGGGGCTGGTTGCAGGGACACAGTAACGTGGGACCATCTGTAGACAGTGTTTCGTGACTGCACACGGCTGTGGGTGTCTGGGTGCATCTCGGTGTGCGTTTGTTACCATGGATGCATGCACCGTGTGTATGTGTGTGTGTGTGTGTGTGTGTGTGTGTGTGTGTGTGTGTGTGTGGCTGGTGTGGGTTTGTGTCTGTCTGAGGGGGGACCCTGACCTTTGGCTCCTCCCACACTCCTGCATGCCGGGCTGGGGACACCCCGGGCAGGGCCCTGGGAGTGGGATGGGAGCGTGGTGGGTCTGACCTTGACCTCAGGTCCCCTCCGTTTTCCACTCTGATCTGAGTCTGCCAGGGCCAGGCTTGGAAGGTTCCAGTTCCAGGTTGGGAACACAGGAGAGGGTCCGAGTATGGGGTTTGGGGGTGAGGGTTGTGGCCCTGGAGACTCCAGGCCAGCTTCCCCCGAACCCGAGCTTCTCCAGACCAGCAGCACCCCCTTCCCCGAGGGCCCCCCTTTCTCCCTTGGACAGGCTGCCGGAGAGGCGGAGGCCGGGACCCAGGTGTCCTGCCCCTCCCGGCCTCAGGGTTCCCTCCGCCTGGCTGTGCAGAAGGTCCAGACGGTCTGCCCAGCGAGCCTGGTGGTTTGGCCCTCAGCCACTCTTCCCACCAACCAGGATCTCCCCCCCCCCCCCCCCCCCCGGGCCACCATCGACCAGCCTGACCGCCTGCCTAGATCTCGGCTTGTGGTTGTGGCCACTTGCTGGCCAGACAGCCCTGAGGCTTCCCTGGCCCGTCCAGCAGGTCAGCAGGCCGGGCCTGGGGCAGGGCCAGCCTCCCCCCAGGTGGCCGGCCTCTCCCAGGAGGCGTTGGCCAGCCGCTGTGACTCAGCCCGCAGGAGAGATCAGTGTCCCTTCCTTCCCCTTTGCCTGGTCATCGCCGCTGCCCCAGCGGAGCCGGGAGGGGGCGGGATCGGAAGCGAGGGTTCCTCCTCTGAGCTGGTCGGGCCGCCTCACCCTCTCATTTCCTCCTGCCTGGGAGCAGCCCACCCCTCATTGCCAGGCGGCCGGGGGTGGGAGGCCATAGGTGCGAGTCTGCTGACCGCAGGGCAGGGCAGGGCAGGGCCGGGGAGGGGAGGGGCCTGTAACCGGAGGCTCCAGGTGGGGGCGGGCCAGGCAGGGGTGGGGCGGGGGCATGAATCTTTGATGAGAGGCTCAGGTGTCCCAGGCCCGGCCTCTGGATTATTGATGGTGGCTGAGGAGGCATGGGCTGTCTCTGCCCCTTCTGGGGTGTCACTGCCCCGTAACAGGAGAAGGGCGAGTCCCTCCCCTGCGCCCTCCCTCCCTCCCTCGCAGGTCTGAGCAGGTGCGTGTGTCACAGTGGAAGCCCCTCCCAGCACTTCCTCCGCTCACTCCCCCGGCCTCCCTCTGCCTGCGGGCGGCGAGCCCCACCTGAGGAAGAGTGTGAGGTTCGGAGAGGTCAGGGGTCACACACAGCAATGGGGAAGGGGCACCCCAGAGGCCAGGTCTTCCTCAGAGACCCGCCCGGGCTCTGCAGGTGGGCGGCTCTGCCCAGCCCGCCGGGCTGCCCTCAGCACCCAGCACCCGGGCTGCCCCGGGACCCGCCCACCCAGCGGCCTGGAGGGTGGTGCCCGCCCGGGCTCAGGCTCAGCCGCCTGCATGGGGGGCACCCGAGGACGGGGGCAGAGTGTCCCCAAAGGCCCCCCCGGCCCGAGCTGCGGGCCCTATAAATAGCCCCTGACCTCAGCCTCCAGGGACTTCCCCAAGGACTCTCCGACCTCGGGGAGCCTCAAGGCCACGCTGCCGGTCCGCGCACCCGGACGCCGGGCAGCCCTGCCACGTGGACCTGGGTTTCCCCCCGAACCACGGCAGTCCCCAGCTCCGACCACCGTCCTCCCCACCGCACTCGGTCCCAAGCCACTGGCTCTTACCTCCTGGCTCTGTGGTCCAAGGACCAAGAGAGTCTGCGTGGGGGAGTTCCTGAGAGTCCCCCCTCCTCCAGGAAGCCTTCCGGACTGCCTGTGTGTTTCCGTGTAACCTTTATACATCCTTTGCCTGCAAACATGCCTTCGCCAAGCTCTGCGTCTGCCATTCATGTGTGTGTGTGTGTGTGTGTGAGTGTGTGTGTTAGGACCCGGGCATGGTGGCTGGGTGTGTGTGTGTGTGTGTTAGAACCCAGGCATGGTGGCTGGGTGTGTGTGTGTGTGTGTGTGTGTCTAAATGCGAGTGTCCACTTGTGTTAGCCCAGCGGAGCGTGTGCTGGTGGACGGGGTGTTGGCATTCACACTCCTCTGTCACCTGCACGTGTTGACGTGTTATGTTCACTCACGCTGGGCTGAGAATGTACCTGTTTGTTGCCACGTGCAACGTGTGTGCGCATGTGTGTGTGCGCATGTACACACGTGTGTGTCAGCGGGCATAGTGGTCCCCGGGAGCTGTTCGCGTGTGTCTGTCCGTGGCTATGACAGGACTGAGCGGCCCCCTCTCCCGCCGGCCTGGCCTTGCGCCGGCCTGGCCTGCCCAGAGCCGCCTCCTGGACGGGCTGCCGCCCCGCCTGTCACCAGAGGCCTCGGGCCGGGCGGCCGCTCACCGCCACCTCCGCGGCTAAATTTGGGAGCTTCTGTCCCGGCGTCTCAGGTTCCCGGTCACATGGGGCTGTACTTAACCCGCTCCCCGCTCCCCGCTCCCCGCCCAGCACCGGACCCCGCAGAGCAGAGCAGGCCCGGCCGGTCCCTGCCACCGCCCTCGCCCTGCCCCCTGCCGCCCACCCGCCCACCGCCCTCACCCGCCATGTTTCTTGTGCTCGTAGCCACCGAGCAGCTGCGGGAGTTCCTCGCCAAGGCGCGGGCCGGCTCCGTGCGGCTCATCAAAGTCGTCATCGAGGACGGTGAGTGCCCGGGAGCGGACGGAGGCGGGCGCCGAGCTCGCTGCTTTGCTGGGGGTGGGGACACGGACCTCCAGCCCACTGGGCCTCAGTTTCCCCCTGGGAGCCGGAGGGGCCTGTAGGAAGCGCTGGAGGTGGCGTGGTCGTCTCCGTTTCCTGTGAAACGGCAGGAAACTGAAGCTGAGGGGTAGCAGGCGGCCCAGGCCTGGCCTGGGGTCCTGTCCAGCGCCCCCCCCCCCTGGGCTGTGTGGGGAGAAACGGGCCGGGCAGGGGGTAGAAGGGCAGGGGGCAGGGATAAGCCAGGCTGGGCCCTGCCCCGTGGCCAGTGCCGCTCACCGGGGTCGGTGGCTGGCAGCCTAGGCCGGTGTGGCTGCTGGCGGCGGGGGGGAGGGGGGAGTCCTACGGAGAAGCCCAAAAAATGTCCCCCGGCGGGGAGAAGGACTCTGGGGTCCAGATGGGAGAATTCTGGGCGTGGCTGGGCCTTGGCCTGGACCTGGGACGTGCGCTTATGGGGGGCGGGGGTTGAGCTGAGGCCGCAGGTGGGAGGGTTTGACGAGGCGGAGGAGCGGACGGCGCTGTGGGGCGGAACAGAGGGCTCCTTCCTCTCCCCGTCCGTCTGTGCCGAGGGGCTGCCCCGGAGACGAGGGTGAGACTCTGGGGCTGGGGGGCTGCCCCCCAGTCCTCCCAGCCTGCAGAGCGGGCCTGTGGGGGCTCTCGGACGGGCGTGGTGCCCATGGCTTTTCACGCCGTGAATGGGCTCCGAGCAGGGTCTGCCCAGGCGGGACGTCCCCCAGGTCTGAGCTGAGGGCTCCAGGGGCGCGGCCCGCCCAGGCCTGCAGGCAGTGGTGGGCAGCGGGGCGTGCCCAGAGGGTCCAGGCCCCGGACGGGCAGCCACTGCCATCTCCACCCGCCTGTGGCCCCGCTCCCGGGTTTCCTAGAGAAACCAGGAAGGTCACTTTGGACGTGAAACTCCGGTGTGAAGACGGGCGGCCTGGTGAGGCGCGCCGACAGCGCTGGCGGCCGGCTCAGCCTGCGGCCCTGGCTTCCAGCCGGCCCCCTTTCAGTTGTGGCAGGCAGCGAGGAGGCCGAGGCCCACAGAGGGGGCTGGGCTGCTGGGCCTGGCCTGGGGGCCCTGCCCCCATCAGGGGCCTGGTAGCAGGTGCCAGCCCTCCGGCCCAGGTGTGATTGTCCCCTCGCCCGTGGCTGGGGCTGTGAGCCCCCAGAGCTCTCTGCAGGGGGCCAGGGAGGGTGAGGGTGTGTATGGAGCAGCGAGCTGGTGGCGGCGCTGGGCACACCTCTGCGTGTCTTCATGTGATTGTGCCAGTCCTGGCGTCACCTCACCCGTGTCCGTGCGTGTGCGGAGGGAGCGGACCCCAGTGGCAGCTTTGTCACCCCTCACCCACCCACTCACTCGTGCTTCAGTCCCAGCCTCGCCCTCGGGGCCTGGGGGCTCCAGGGAAGGCGGGGAGGGGGGCCGGAGGCGGAGGTCCGGGCGGCTGGGGAAGGCGTGGGGGTGGGACTCGCTCACCCCGCCTCTGCCCCCAGAGCAGCTCACGCTGGGGGCGTCGCGGGAGCCGGTGGGCAGCTGGGAGCAGGACTATGACCGGGCGGTGCTGCCGCTCCTGGACGCCCAGCAGCCCTGCTACCTGCTCTACCGCCTGGACTCCAAGAACGCCCAGGGCTTCGAGTGGCTCTTCCTGGCCTGGTCGCCTGACAGCTCCCCCGTGAGTCCCGGTGCCAGTCCCGGACGGGGGGAGGGCCCGGGGCTGAGCGAGACGAGGCCCATCCTTGGGGTGGGGGGACGTGGGGACCGGCTCCAGGGCGGCTGAAGGGACCAGGTCCTGGGTCGCCGCAGCCTCCTGGCCTGGGAGTCAGAGGTTGGCTGGACAAGGGCTCCCCCTGCTGTCCGAGCCACCCCACTGCCTCCTCGCTCTGCACGGCGCCCTCTGCCGGGGTGTGGGCACCAGGCGGGGAGACAGCCCTGCCCCTGGCCCTGCCTGCGGGGAGACAGCCCTGCCCCCAGGGCCTCACGCTGGCCCCCGCTCAGGTGCGGCTGAAGATGCTGTACGCGGCCACGAGGGCCACGGTGAAGAAGGAGTTCGGGGGCGGCCACGTCAAGGACGAGCTCTTCGGGACCACGAAGGTGCGCTCAGGCTGGCCCTGCGAGCCGGTCACAGGCCTGAGGACAGACGGGTTCGGGTCACGGGGCGGGTGGGCACCGGCTGGGCCATGAGCAGGGAGGGCTGCGGGCTGGGCGCTGAGGGCTGGGTGCCCGGGCTGCGGGCTGGGTGCTGAGGGCTGGGGGCTGGGCGCTGAGGGCTGCAGGCCTGGGCTGCGGGCTGGGTGCTGCGGGCTGGGTGCTGAGGGCTCCCGGCAGTTGCCCGATCACCCGTTCGTGCCTCCGCCCGGCAGGACGACCTCTCCCTGGCCGGCTACCAGAAGCACCTGTCCTCCTGCGCGGCGCCCGCCCCGCTGACCTCGGCCGAGAGGGAGCTGCAGCAGATCCGCATCAACGAGGTGAGGTGGGCGCTGGGGGGTGAGGGGAGGCGGGGTGGGCGCTGGGGGGTGAGGGGAGGCGGGGTGGGCGCTGGGGGGTGAGGGGAGGCGGGGTGAGGGGAGGCGGGGTGGGCGCTGGGGGGTGAGGGGAGGCGGGGTGAGGGAGGCGGGGTGGGCGCTGGGGGGTGAGGGGAGGCGGGGTGGGCGCTGGGGGGTGAGGGGAGGCGGGGTGGGCGCTGGGGGTGAGGGGAGGCGGGGGTGGGGCGCTGGGGGGTGAGGGGAGGCGGGGTGGGCGCTGGGGGGTGAGGGGAGGCGGGGGGGGGCGCTGGGGGGTGAGGGGAGGCGGGGGGGGGCCCTGGGGGGTGAGGGGAGGCGGGGGGGGGGCGCTGGGGGGTGAGGGGAGGCGGGGTGGGCGCTGGGGGGTGAGGGGAGGCGGGGTGGGGCGCTGGGGGGTGAGGGGGGGCGGGGGGGGGGCGCTGGGGGGTGAGGGGAGGCGGGGTGGGCGCTGGGGGGTGAGGGGAGGCGGGGTGGGCGCTGGGGGGCGGGCCTGTGCTCCCTGCGCCCCGTCGGGCGGCAGGTGAGGCCGCTCACGGAGCTCACTGGCGCTGCCCCAGGGGAAGACGGAGATCAGCGTGGAGAGCAAGCACCAGACGCTGCAGGGCCTGGCCTTCCCGCTGCAGCCCGAGGCCCAGCGGGCGCTGCAGCGGCTCCGGCAGAAGGCCATCGACTACATCCAGCTGGTGGGTGCGCCCGCCGGCCCCCGACGCTCCCCCACCTCAACCCCGCCCCACCCCACCTCCCTCACACGTGCAGGCGTGTGCACCGTGTCCCCGGCCTGTCCACACAGCTCATCCGTGGGCCCGCAGGAACACCTGCCGGCCCCGCCCCGCCCCTGCCCGTCCCCATTGGGTGCAGCTGCCGTGTGTCATGGATGCGCTCTGCCCCCTGCCCTGTCCCTGCTCATGGGCAGGGGCCTGTGACAGTCCCGCCCGCCTCCGCTCGCACACTGTACTCACTGAATCCGCTGACTCCTTAGCTCTCAGCCCCTTCCTGTCCCAGACTCCCCCTCACCCCATCCTCACCCCCACCCCCAGGCAAGCCCTCGCCCCTGTGGTCCAGGCTGGCCCCCCGGGGCCAAGGGGCACCTCCTCTCCAAGCGGCCTGAGGTCTGAGGGGGGGGCTGGTCCTGCCCATGGTTGGGGGGTCCTTCCAGCCTTCCCTGGGAGCTGGGCCGGGGGCCCCCGTGGCGGGCGGGCGGGCACTGCCTCACCCTCCTGGCGCCCCCGCCCTCGGCAGAAGCTGGACCTGGAGCGGGAGACCATCGAGCTGGTGCACACGGAGCCCACGGACGTGGCCCAGCTGCCCTCCCGTGTGCCCCGCGAGGCCGCCCGCTACCACTTCTTCCTCTACCGGCACACGCACGAGGGCGACCCGCTGGAGTCTGTGGGTGAGCAGCGGCCGGGGGGGGGGGGGGGGGGCCTGCGGGGGCGGGGGCGCCCGCTCACCGCTCCGCCCGCCCCCAGTGTTCATCTACTCGATGCCCGGCTACAAGTGCAGCATCCGGGAGCGCATGCTCTACTCCAGCTGCAAGAGCCGCCTCCTCGACTCGGTGGAGCAGGACTTCCGGCTGGAGATCGCCAAGAAGGTGGGCGCGAGCGTGTCCCCCTGAGCCCCCCCCGCCTCTGCCGGGCCCGGGGCGAGACGGTGGAGGGCAGGGCCACTGCTGCCTGTTGGGGGGAGGACGGGGGACCGGTCCAGGGGAGAAACGGGGGGACCGGTCCAGGACTGCCCTGCTGGCTGATGGCCTGGGCGGGCCCGAGCCCTGGCTCTGTGCCTCCTGCCCGGGCTCTGTGCCTCCTGCCCGGGCCCAGAAGGCGGGGGGCCTGGAAGGCGGGGGGCCTGGAAGGCGGGGATCCTGGAAGGCGGGGGGGCCCAGAAGGCGGGGGGCCTGGAAGGCGGGGATCCTGGAAGGCGGGGGGGCCCGGAGGCGGGGGGCCCGGAAGGTGGGGAACCTGGAAGGCGGGGGGCCCAGAAGGCAGGGGGTCCGGAAGGCGGGGGGCCCGGAAGGCGGGGTCCTGGAAGGCGGGGGGTCCTGGAAGGCGGGGATCCTGGAAGGTGGGGGGGGCCCGGAAGGTGGGGGACCCGGAAGGTGGGGATCCTGGAAGCCAGGGGTTCCAGAAGGCGGGGATCCTGGAAGGCGGGGGGTCCGGAAGGCGGGGGGGCCCGGAAGGTGGGGGTCCTGGAAGCCAGGGGGTCCAGAAGGCGGGGATCCTGGAAGGCGGGGGGTCCGGGAAGGCGGGGGGTTCGGAAGGCATGGGGGCCCGGAAGGTGGGGATCCTGGAAGCCAGGGGGTCCAGAAGGCGGGGATCCTGGAAGGCGGGGGGTCCTGGAAGGCGGGGGGTCCGGAAGGCGGGGGGGCCCGGAAGGTGGGGATCCTGGAAGCCAGGGGGTCCAGAAGGCGGGGATCCTGGAAGGCGGGGGGTCCTGGAAGGCGGGGGGGTCCAGAAGGCGGGGGGCCTGGAAGGCGGGGATCCTGGAAGGCGGGGGGCCTGGAAGGCGGGGGGTCCTGGAAGGCGGGGGGTCCTGGAAGGCGGGGGGCCCGGAAGGCGGGGGGCCCGGAAGGCGGGGATCCTGGAAGGCGGGGGGTCCGGAAGGCGGGGGGCCCGGAAGGCGGGGGGCCCGGAAGGCGGGGGGGCCCGGAAGGCGGGGGGCCCGGAAGGCGGGGTCAGCAGGTCGTCCAGGTGGGGGTCGGGGAGGAGAGAAGGGGTACCCGGGAGTGAGGTGGGAGTCTGGGTCCCACACTGGGGCTGACACGGCGTGCCCCTCGCAGATCGAGATCGGCGACGGGGCCGAGCTGACCGCCGACTTCCTGTACGACGAGGTGCACCCCAAGCAGCACGCCTGCAGGCGGGCCTTCGCCAAGCCCCAGGGCCCGGGCGGCAAGCGCGGCCACAAGCGCCTCATCCGCGGCCCCGGGGAGAACGGCGACGACAGCTAGAGGCCCCGGCCGCCGGCCGGTCACTGCGGGGCCGCCGCCCGCCCGGCCGCCGCCTCCCTCCCGTCCGCCCGCCCGCCCGCCGCCCGGGCTGCGGGCAGGGGCCTCGGGGCGGGAGGGCGGTGGCGGACCCGCTTGCTGCTTCCAGGGGCCACCGGGCTGGCGTTGGCCTCCCCCGTGCTCTCCCTGCCCCTCGTCCGTGTGCCCGTCCGTGTGCCCGTCCGTGTGCCCGCCGTGTGCCCGCTGTCCGGGCCCTGCGTGGCTGTCTCAGGGCCTGGCATGAACGTGGGCCCCGAGGGAACTGAGACCAGGGCCCGGCGCAGCCACAATCCTTGGCCACAGGGGTGGGTCCGTCGGGGCCGGGCAGGGTCACGGTGGGGGAGATGGTTGGATGCTGTATTTTTTAAAGAATAAAATATTTTTAAATCAACAGCCGAGTCTGGCCCGAGGGAGCCCCTGGCCCTGGGCATGGGAGGCCCTGTGTGTGTGACGGCCCCGCCCCCCGTGGGAGGTGCCAGGAGAGTGTCTGGGTGCAGGGACGCCTCCTCGGAGGGGTCTGCCTGTGGTGGGGGGCACAGCGCGGGGGAGGGGGGCGGGTGTGCGGGTTTCCTACAGCTGCTCCGAGTTCCCCAAACCCGCTGGCTTTGTCTATTTTTGTTGACTTCAGAGAGGAAGGAAGAGGGAGAGAGAGTGAAACATCCATGAAGAGAGAACCACGGATCATCAGCTGCCTCCTGCGGGCCTCCCACCGGGGATGGTGCCTGCCACTGGGGCGGGTGCCCCGACCAGGAATCGAACTGTGACCTCCTGGTTCTCAGGCCAACCTTACTGGCTTCACACAACACACGTGCACTCCCCGGCAGTTCTTACACGCGGGAGTGCGTGCAGGGCGAAAGCCAGGCGTGGGCAGGGCCGGCCCGGAGGCCACGGGGGACCATCCGCTTCCACACCTGTTCCCGGGCCCCTTCCTCCCCCTGCAGAGCCGGGGGCGGAGCGGCTGCTTCCGAAGATCGGCTTCCCCTTCCCCTGCCTGGAGGACCGCTCCAATTATAGCCACTTCCCTTTCCCACTGCTGCCGGGCCCGCTCCCCTCAAACCCGGAACTGCCTGTGAGCCCCTCTCGTGGACTCAATTCACAGGCCAGGCAGTGGGATGGGGGGGAGGCTCTCCGGGGGCATTCCTCGGCCTGCGCCGCTGGGGAGCTCTGCCCACTGGGCTTCCCGACCTCAGTGGAGCTGGGCTCTGGCGGGTGCGATGGGTGTCTGAAATCCCGCAGTGTCCAGCCGGTGTGTGTGCATGCACACGCAGGCTTCCCTGGCAGCTCATGGCCACCTCGGGACCTGGGTTCTGCCCCCAAGGCAGACGGTGGCTGCTGGAAGGGGAGAGGTCCTGAGCCTTTGGTCCCAGGGGCCCTGGGGAGGGGCTCAGCGGGGGGTGCAGGGGTGAGGACCCCGGTCGGTGGCGGTTCAGCCCCGGACCTGGCACTGTCCTGTCCGCAGTGGCACAGCCTGGGCGAGGGCGAGGGCCCGACCCCTCCCTGCAGCGGCAGCCGAGCCCGCCTCCCGGCAGAAGCCCTTTGCGTTCACTCAGCGTCACCCAGAACCTCTGTCCGGGGGCCGGGACAGCCCAGGCTCAGCTGGCACCGGGTGGGCCCGGGACACAGACAGAAAAGGTCCCACGTGGCCAGCGGGCAAGAAGACTATTACAGGCGACGCAAAAGCAAGGAAATCGCATGCTGATTTGTCAAAACTTAAACAGAAAACAGCCGGGCTGAAGCCGGTGTGGCTCAGTGGATAGAGCGTCAGTCTGCGGACTAAAGGGTCCCGGGTTCAATTCTGGCCAAGGGCATGTGCCTTGGTTTCGGGCCCATCCCCGGCAGTGGGTGTGCAGGAGGCAGCTGGTCGATGTTTCTCTCTCATCGATGTTTCTAACTCTCTGTCCCTCTCCCTTCCTCTCTGTAAAAAATCAATAAAATATATATTAAAAAGAAAGAAAGAAAGAAAGAAAGAAAGAAGGAAGGAAGGAAGGAAGGAAGGAAGGAAGAAAGGAAAGAAAGAAAGAAAGAAAGAAAGAAAGAAAGAAAGAAAGAAAGAAAGAAGAAAGAAAGAAAGAGAAAACAGCCAGAAAAGGGGCTTGGCCCAGGTTGAAGGTTTATTTTTTATTTTATTTTTTTTAATTTTCATGATCACCCTTTTTTGATTTTTTAAAATATATTTTATTGATTTTTTACAGAGAGGAAGGGAGAGAGAGAGAGAGCTAGAAACGTCAATGAGACAGAATCCTCGACCAGCTGCCTCTTGCACACCCCCTACCGGGGATGTGCCGGCAACCAACGTACATGCCCTTGACCGGAATCAAACCTGGGACCCTTCAGTCCGCAGACCGACGCTCTACCACTGAGCCAATCCGGTCTTGGCGGGTGGAAGGCTTAGACGAAGCGCAGGAGGCCCCGCTGAGAGGCCCTGTGTGAGGGGACGTGAAGGAGACGACGGCGGGGAGGGAGGGTCTGAGAGAAGAGCTTCAGGCAGAGGGACCGGACCCTCACAGGCCTCGGCGGGAGGTGCCCCGGTGTGTCCAGGCCGGCACAGGAGGGAGGCCACTATGTGGGTGCGACTTTGGCTCCAGAAAGGGTCACAGAGGGGCCTGAGCCGGGGAGGGGGGCCTCCTGTGACTCGGGGCCCATGGGAACAGGCGTGGGTGTGGGTGTGAGCACAGAAGCCGGCCACCCGTGAGGCGAGGATGAGGGTGTTGGTCTAGGCGAGAGATGGCGGGTGATGGGCAGGAGCTGGTGGACCTGGAAGTGGAGCCCAGGGCCTTGCTGGGGGCCAAGGAGCGGGCAGAGCCCATGGGAGCCGAGCCAGGCGGTCCGGCAGCCAGCCGGACGTGGGGAGCGCAGGGGGACCCCTCCTAGAGGGAGTGGGGGCTGGGGTGCAGGTGCAGCGGGGAGGCTCAGCTCCCACACCCAGGCCCCAGCCTCGAAGGCCTCTGCCAGGAGGGGCAGGCGCAGGGAGGAGGCGCCGGCCTGTGGCCGCCTGCAGGGATGAGGGTGAGAGGGGAGGCCCCGGCAGGTGTCGGCGTGCCCTCGAGGTCTGGCACTGCCCCGATGCCAGCTCCTCGGGGAGCATCGCCTGGGCTGGGGCCCCGTGGCTCCCAGGGTCCCCGCAGACAGGTGTGAGGCCCAGACAGACGGCGGTCTTGCCGGGACAGGCTGGGGCGAGGGAGGGGAGTGAAAGAGGAAGGAGGGCTCTGTCTGCCATCTGACTATGCAAATGGCCTGACTCATCGCACGCCCCCCGCCATGGCAGGGAGGGGGCTGGCGGTTGTGAAAGTCTCACTTCCTCTGCTGGCAGCAGTCGCAGCGGGAAGGGCCTGGCTGGACGAGACCCTCTGGACAAGCCCCCCTCCTGGTCATGGTAGGACAGCCACCCTTGGCTGGGGAGGGGACAGCGGGGCCAGGGGACGGGTGGGGAGACGGGAGGGCTTGGCAGTAGGGGACAGTAGGGGATGCACTGTCACCCACATGGCCCAGGGTGCCCCCGGGGCCCCCCAGACAACAGCGCGGACGAGGAGGCCGAGGCCGAGGGCTCCCTCTGAGGGGCCCGGGGGCCAAGGTAAAGCTGGGCGCCCAGGCCTGGCTCTGACCCACAGCAGGGGCAGGCTCCTGGGCCGAGGGGAAAGAGCGGGCACTGCCCCCGGTGCCCAGGCCCTGGATGGTCCCCGGCCTGGACCCCAGCGAGAGACCCTCATTCCTGCCTGGGTCGGTCGTGGCCAAAGGGAGGGGGTGGGGAGGAGGGAAGCAGCGGGCGGAACGGGGAGGGGCTCCTTGCTCAGGAGAAAAGAGCAATGGGCTGAGGATGGAGGGAGAGTGGGGGGAGGAGAGGGGAAGCCTGGGGCCTGCAGGCACCCGCCTGGCTCTCGTGCAGCTGGGGTTTGGTTCGGAGTGAAAGTCTGGACCATGCGTCTGAGTTCTGGGTCTCAGGAGCGGTTCTGAGTCCACGGCCGAGTCCCCGGCCCACGTCCAGGTTCCCCACGAGCCTCGGAGGTGGGAGGGGGTGGGCAGAGAGGCGGGAGCCTCCCTGGGGAGACCTGGGTGGGGAGGCGAAGCCGGGCTGGTACTCACGCTCCCCTCCCGTTCTCCCCCTCCCCCCTACAGGGCCCCTGCCACGGCGCCCTGCTGCCCCTGTGCCTCCTGGTTCAGGCCCAGGTGCTGGCCCTGGCCCAGGCCCAGGGCGCCCTGCCCGCCTTCCTGCCCTGCGAGGAGCAGACCCCCAACCACGTGGACTGCGAGTGGCTCTTCCTGACGGCCGTGCCCCGCTTCTCCGAGTCCTCGCCCCGGGCCAACGTCACCAGCCTCTCCCTGCGCTGCAACCGCATCCGCCACCTCCACGACCAGGACTTCGCCCACCTGACCCGCCTGCGCAAGCTCGACCTCAAGTGGAACTGCCCACCCAGCAGCCTCAGCATCATGCACTGGGCCTGCCACATGACCATCGCGCCCCACACCTTCCTGGCCGTGCCCACGCTGGAGGAGCTGAACCTGAGCTACAACAACATCACCACGGTGCCCGCGCTGCCCGCCGCCCTGCGCACGCTGTCCCTCAGCCGCACCAACATCCTGGTCCTCGACGCCGCCAGCTTCCGCGGCCTGCACGCCCTCTCCCACCTGTACGTGGACGGCAACTGCTACTACGAGAACCCCTGCGGGGGGGCCGTGCGGGTGGCCCCCGGCGCCCTCCTGGGCCTGCGCAACCTCACCCACCTGTCGCTCAAGTACAACAACCTCACGGCGGTGCCCCGCGGCCTGCCCGCCGGCCTGCAGACCCTGCTGCTGGCCTACAACCGCATCGTCGCCCTGGGGCCCGGCGACCTGGCCAACCTCACGGCCCTGCGGGTGCTGGACGTGGGCGGGAACTGCCGCCGCTGCGACCACGCCCGCAACCCCTGCGTGGAGTGCCCCCGGGGCTACCCCCGGCTGCACCCCGACGCCTTCCGCAGCCTGAGCCGCCTGGAGGGCCTGGTGCTGAGCGACAGCTCCCTCCACAGCCTGGACGACAGCTGGTTCCGGGGCCTGGACAACCTCACGGGGCTGGACCTGAGTGAGAACTTCCTGTACGACTTCATCACCAACACCTCCGTCTTCTGGCGCCTGAGGAGGCTGCGCAAGCTCAACCTGTCCTTCAACTACCACAAGGGGGTGTCCTACGCCCACCTGCGGCTGGCGCGGTCCTTCCAGGGGCTGCGCGCCCTGGAGCACCTGGACATGACGGGCATCTTCTTCCGGGAGCTGAGCCAGCGCACGCTGCAGCCGCTGGCCGGCCTGCCCGCCCTGCGGAGCCTCCGCCTGCAGATGAACTTCATCAACCGGGCCCAGCTCAGCGTCTTCGGGGCCTTCCCCCGCCTGCGCCAGGTGGACCTGTCCAACAACCGCATCAGCGGGGCGCCGGGCGCCGAGGCCGCGCGGGGCGAGGCGAACGCCGGCGAGGAGGGCGGGCGGCGCTCGGGGGACCTCTCGGCGCTGGGCCCCGATACCCCCCCGGGGGAGGCGGACGCGGGGGAGGCGGGCGGGCGGCGGCCCCCGGGGGACCTCGAGGATGCCCGGGGCCTCGGGGACTTCAGGGACTTCAGGCTGAGCTGCGAGAACCTCACCTTCACCCTGAACCTGTCTCGGAACAACCTGGTGACGATCGAGCCCGAGATGTTCGCGGGGCTGTCGCGCCTCGAGTGCCTGCGCCTGAGCTACAACAGCATCTCCCAGGTCAACGGCTCGCAGTTCGCGCGGCTGCCCGGCCTGCGGGTGCTGGACCTGTCCTACAACAAGCTGGACCTGTACCACGGCCGCTCCTTCACCGAGCTGCCGCGCCTGCGCACGCTGGACCTCAGCTACAACAGCCAGCCCTTCAGCATGCAGGGCATGGGCCACAACCTCAGCTTCGTGGCCCAGCTGCGCAGCCTGCGCCACCTCAGCCTGGCCCACAACGCCATCCACAGCCGCGTGTCGCCCGAGCTCCGCAGCGCCACCCTCCTGGCCCTGGACTTCAGCGGCAACGCCCTGAACCGCATGTGGAACGAGGGCGACCTCTACCTCCGCTTCTTCCAGGGCCTGCGCTGGCTGCGGAGCCTGGACCTGTCCCGCAACCACCTGCACGCCGTGCTGCCCCACAACCTGGCCAGCCTGCCCCCGGACCTGCGGCGGCTGCGGCTGCGGGACAACTTCCTGGCCTTCTTCAACTGGAGCAGCCTGGCCCTCCTGCCGCAGCTGGACAGCCTGGACCTGGCGGGCAACCAGCTCAAGGCCCTGACCAACGGCAGCCTCCCCGCCGAGCCCCGGCTCCGGAGCCTGGACGTCAGCCGCAACCTCATCAGCTACGTGGCCCTCGGCTTCTTCGCGCCGGCCACGGCGCTGCGGGAGCTCAACCTCAGCCACAACGCCCTCCGCACGCTGGACCCCGCCTGGTTCGGCTCCCTGGCGGCGGCCGCCGCCCTGACCGCCCTGGACGTGCGCGCCAACCCGCTGCACTGCGCCTGCGGCGCGTCCTTCGTGGACTTCCTGCTGCAGGTGCAGGCGGCCGTGCCCGGGCTGGCCAGCCAGGTCAAGTGCGGCAGCCCCGGGCAGCTGCAGGGCCGCAGCATCTTCGCGCAGGACCTGCGGCTCTGCCTGGACGAGGCCCTGTCCTGGGACTGCTTCGGCCTGTCGCTGCTGGCCGTGGCGCTGGCCGTGGCCGTGCCGCTGCTGCAGCACCTGTGCGGCTGGGACCTCTGGTACTGCTTCCACCTGGGCCTGGCCTGGCTGCCGCGGCGCGGGCGCCGGCGGGGCGCGGGCGCCCCGGCCTACGACGCCTTCGTGGTCTTCGACAAGACGCACGCGGCCGTGGCCGACTGGGTGTACAACGAGCTGCGGGTGCGGCTGGAGGAGCGCCGCGGGCGCCGGGCGCTGCGCCTGTGCCTGGAGGAGCGGGACTGGCTGCCGGGCAAGACGCTCTTCGAGAACCTGTGGGCCTCGGTCTACGGCAGCCGCAAGACGCTGTTCGTGCTGGCCCACACCGACCGCGTGAGCGGCCTGCTGCGCGCCGGCTTCCTGCTGGCCCAGCAGCGCCTGCTGGAGGACCGCAAGGACGTGGTGGTGCTGGCCATCCTGAGCCCCGCCGCCCGCCGCTCCCGCTACGTGCGGCTCCGCCAGCGCCTCTGCAGCCGCAGCGTGCTGCTCTGGCCCCACCAGCCCAGCGGCCAGAGCAGCTTCTGGGCGCAGCTGGGCGTGGCCCTCACCAGGGACAACCGCCACTTCTACAACCGCAACTTCTGCCGCGGCCCCACCACGGCCGAGTAGGGGGCGCTGCCCGGGACGCCCCGGCCGGCCTCGCTCTGCAGAGGGGCCCCGGCATACAGCAGGCACTCCAGCAATGTTCCTGGCAGGCCCCGTGGCCGCCTGCTGGCCATGCGCGGAGCTCCGGAGGTGTGAATGGGAGGGAGGGGGGGAATTCCCAGGGAAGAAGGGCGGGAGGCCATTGGGGTCGCAGGGGAGGGCAGCTCCAGGGGTGGTTGTGAGGGGGGAGTGGAGGGGGGGGGCGGGGGAG